TCGTAGAGTTTATTTATTTGCCCGATTGCATTCCTTAGATCTTGAGTCATAATTGTTGTGAAAGTTGTGAGATAAGATGGGTGAGCTCCCAAAGTAAATCCAATGTGGGGCATTATGAGAACATGTGGATCATGTTTGCCTCAACCTCATTCCGTTCAACATTCTTTTAGCCTTCATGTCACTGCGTTCGGTGTGGTGAAATATATTTCTTTACACTTGAGCAAAAGTATTTAAAATTATGCAATAAATTTCATGAAACTGGAACTACATTAGGAACTTAGAAAAACTTCAATATAATTAAAAATAATAAATAAATAATTGTATTAATATTTTAATAAATACATTTTTTTATGAGGACCTGGAATGTGGATTCTATTTTTCTGTGTACCCAATTTTGCCATAGGAGCAACAAGCTACAATTGATTAGAATCGCTTTTTATGGTTATTATTTTTTCCACATATTTGCACGTACACTGACTCGTATCTGAGAGCACAGATATAACCAAATTATTTGTTTATTAATTTCATTTATTCTCGGGTGTGGAGGGCAAGAGATCGGGGCCACCAACTGCGTTCGTTTCGCTTTTTATTCGCATACTTTTTTATTTTTCCCCCTTTTTCTTGCTTTATTTTGTTGAGATGTTTTGCCGGCAAGAATCTGGGCGATTCGCAACCTAATGCTGCAAGAGAGCTCTTCGTGTGCGGATGACTCATTCTCCAGCAATGTCGAGTGCGCTAAGTGAAGAGGGCGGAGAAGGGGTTTCTGCCGAGTTCAGATATGGTGTTGTCTTCTGGTGGGGACAACTCCATTCCACTCCAATCCACTTTAGCTACAGTGGTCCATGCTAGACTAAAAGTATTTTTAAGTGATCAGAAATAGTCATTGGAATTCGAAGATGTATTTGTATTTCAGCAAGCAATTTGAATGTGAAATATTTAAGAAATCAAATCTAAACAATTAATTAACATTTTAAAGAAAGTTTTTTGCGTTTACTTACCTTATATAAATATAATTTCAATACAAATTTTATATTGTTTACCTATATTTTTATCTTATTAAAAATCGGTAAATTAAAATCATTAAAAATTTTAAAATCATGAATGACAACTGTGATTCCTGTTTTATTCGTCTTCACTGCGACTATTGCCTGTTTTTTCTCCACTTTGATGGTTTCTCTGGTTGTTGTTTTGATTAAACCGCTTTTGGAGTGGGGAATATGGGATGTTATGGCTACGCAGAGTTAGCAAAAGAGACGGCAGAGTTGATTTCAAATCATGATTAATATCTTATGTAAAGTTGACGGGGGGAGTTCTACTTCTTCGACTCCATTCCGTTGATAGCTCATAACGGTACCGACTAGACGAGCATAAATAACAGCTTTTTAAGCGCTGCAGCTCGTCGAACTTTAATTTGTGCTCAAAGAAAGCTGAGAGGCATTTTCCATCGGACAATGGACCAGAAGCGTCTCCCGCTGAATAGCCATAGAATTCCTTCCTTAACTGTTTTTGCTGACCGGCAAACAAAAACCAAAACCAAAAGCCCAGAAAAAGAATAACAACAATAAAATCTGGCAGGGAACAACAATGCGAATCTGGATTTCAGTTTGCTCTCATGTCTGGAGAGTGTTTGCCTTTTGCCGTTTGGCATTTGAAGTGTTTATTGTCCCAAAACTTTTGTCAATTCACTTGTGAAATACTCTTTTAAGTGTGAAACTCATAACTTTGCGATAAAGCTTGTTTTACGGGAAAATGGTAAAATGGACTGAAGCGTTAATAATAGTTTTATTTAAATTATATTTAAAATAATTTATTAAGGTATCTAGCTTTCTTTTAAGAACTTTTAAACATGTCTTTCATTTTTATTTTTATATAGTCTGAAGACTTCTTAAAACATCATATTCTTTAATCATTTGAAGGGGTTTTTTTATTGAATTAAATTTTACACCTATTTAAGAAAATAAATAATAAGATATAAAGAGTAGTTTCTGCTTCGGCTTTTAATGTTTAAATCTTTTCACATAGCTAAAGGAAACAAACAATCGTTTGGAAAATTATTCTCCTTGAGGACAATGTGAAATTTTCAATAGGATTTCACAACCTCTACTTCAAGTGTCATTTACAACAGATTTTAAGCGTTTAAGTTTTGGAAAAGGAAAGGTGTTGGAATTTGCAAAATAAAATAAATAAAGTAATTAAAGAGAAAATGCTTTCCCCAGGAATTCTTCTTATTTTAACATAAATGGATTCTTTTTTTGTTTCATATCTGTTCCCATTTCCAAATTTAACATATCTGTTCCCATTTCCAAGTGCTCCAGTTTCGTTTCCTTATGCAAATTTAAAGAAATCACTTTGACACTTCAAGTCTGGTTTATTTTTTCTTTGTTACACTTATAAATAGATTTTTTTCCAAACCAAATTCGTTTGTTTTTGCGGTTTCTGCTGTTGTTGCTGCTCATTGCCCTCATTTGTCATTCGTTGGCTTTGGCTTGCCGTTGGTAATACGAGATTTTTCTACCATTTCGTGGCTCATGCCAATTGTTTTTATCGCCACTTGGGTCGAAAAACGTTGAAAGCGTGCAAATTCGAATGCAAATTTAACACCTCGTCGTGGTTGACAGAAAACAACCAACAACCAACCAACCACCCAGCAATAAAACCAAAACAATGCAAAACAACCCAAGAGGAAACGTTTAACTTTTGAAAATTGAGCCGCAAATTGAAAATCAAGACGAGAAGCGAGCAAAAGTGAAAAAGTGGGTTAAAGCGGGCATGGAAAATTGAAATTGAATGCAGTTGACGGGGGAGACGTACTCTGTTCGTTGACCACCAGACGGTTACCTCACCACATGCATTTAAATATAAATATATACATATATGTGCATTGCAACATAGAGATTCACATGGGCACTCCTACAAAAACTGAAAAAGTAACAGCATTTCGTTGCGAAAGTGAAACTGAATTGCAGCTTCAAAGACCACAGAAACACGAGTCCCGATTTCTAGTACAAATAAGGCAAAAATTAAATACTTAATCCATCTTGTTGATTCAGAAAAATAAAATACATTAAAATAAGCTTTTATTTATTCGAAATGTATTTTTTTAAAATTAAATATTTATCAAGAACTCATTTACAAAATATGTCATATTTCATTCCCAAATTTTCCAAATTTGTACAATTTTTATGTTGTCGATTTTTGTTTGATTATTTATAAATGAAGCTGAAGTAGTCCAGGTATTCACGATCATTAAAATATTTAAAATTAAATATTTACAAATAATAAAAAATCCCCTTAATAAGATGCAATATATGAGGCTAACAACGAAAACGTTTTTTTTAATATACAATCATATTTTCATTAAAATTAAATGCATGCAACGTTATGTTTTGACTCACATTTAAAGACCTAATTTTAAACCGTTTAAAGAAAGTGCCAGCTTAAGGCAATTTATGTCGGACTGCAACGTTAGTTCAATTGGCCATATACTTTAAAGCTCTGCCCCTGTTACGCATGCGCCCTGAGCTGGAAAGTCATTTGCTTAAGCCCAGATCCAAAGTCAGGTCACAAAAGGAAAATCCGATGATTTATTCCGGTTTCAGTTCAGTGGGGTCAAAGATTGTTTCGCTTTCAGCTTTTCTCTTCGGGCCATGGAATGTGGTAAACTTACTTATTTCGTTTTTATTTCACATATTTCTTTCAATCTTTCCTTTTTTTTTTAGTGTTTGCGTCCATCAAACAATTAACTATCGTATTTTTTTGTTTCTACACTTTTAATTGTTGTTTAAACTGGTTTTGCGTGTTTTTTTTTTTTTTTTTTTGTTTTTGCCAGCTTCCAGTGGCAGACAGCGTTGAAAACCAATTAGGAGATATTTTGTACTCCCATCTGGCGTCTCTTTCGGCAAATGTATGCCCCTCTCTTTCGACTGCTAATCCGCAGACAAGTTAATCGTTTGTTGACCTCCACGTCAAGGATGGCGGCGGGGTGAAAAGGGGATGTGTTGGGGCTCCATTGCGGTTTTGAGATTTTTTCCTCTTTCGGAAAATTTGCATAACGCGTTGCAGGCAAACAACTAAAAAAACAGAAAAGGAAAAATACTACAGACACCAGAGACGAAGTCGAGCTATCAAACCAAGTTCCATCACAAGTTCTTTCTCTGGTCGTTGTGAAGTTTTGTATCCGAGTATCTGTGAGATGCAAGTTCTTCTCCACTTCATATGCCAACTCACCACAAATCACGCAACATTTTCAAAGTCTGTTTGTCTGGCTCTCATCTGTCTGCCTTGGCCGAGCTTATCTAACCAGTTATCTCGACTGAACGGTACTCACTAAGATATCTACTTATTCCTCGCCTTCATCGCGTAGTTTAGTTCAGACCTTGAGATATGCGGAAACTTCGAGAAGAGAGATGTACTAGTTAAGGAGTACTTTGTGATTCTTTTTATAACTTTTCTTCCCGAACAATAAACTTTTTACAAAGTTTTCTTGGTTTTTGTACTTTAAGGAATTTTTAATTTAAATTGATCTTTATATATAAGAGGTTCTTTCTTTAATTATACCATGTAAATTTAAAATTTACATGAATAACAGAAATACCAACTGTCCAGAACAACTTGGTTAAATAAAACTTACAATAAATTTCTTTATAACTTCTATGTTAGATTATAAAAACAAAGTTTAAAAACTGAATCTTTTTGGTTTATAGAAATTTGTTGTTTCTGCTTTCTCATTTCTTTCCGTTAGTCTTCCAATTAATTTTGGAGGAAATATATACGCATAAATTTCTAGTTAACGGAACGGCAAGAAAAACCTTTGAGAGCGCTTCTTATGCTTGGCTTGCTTTTGGCCCAGACTTTTCAGTTGCACTGCGCCAAAGAGCAAAAGCAGCAGCAGCGGCAGCAACCAAAAACAACAAATAGCAATAATAATATTGCATTCTCAACAATTTCTCTGATTCTACCGTTTGTAATTCAACGTTTTTTCCCCTCTTCTTTCGTTTCAGACATGGCACAAAACGTGTTTCAAATGCACAGAATGCGGCATGACGCTCAATATGAAAACCTACAAGGGCTACAACAAAATGCCCTACTGCGAGGCGTAAGTTTAACCAAGTTTTTGCCACCCCCTAACCCAGAAAATCCCCCCATACCATCCCATCGCATTCGCCATTTGGGATCCGGATCCTACGAACAATTGTGGAACACAGTGGGGGCAATCACGTTAAGTCTTATCGTCGCACCCACTCGAAATCGGAATGCGATGGAGGATGGTCAACCTTGATTTGCCTCACCTCACTCACCTGGCAATCTTCATTAGCGTCGTTTATCTAATCGCTCCAGGGAGATAGTGGGAGTGCGCCGCCCCCCCTTCTCAACGAAGATAACGTTTAAATTCACTGGAAAATTGCAACGAAAAAAAAAAGAGAACCCTCGAATGTGGGTGAACAAAAAGTGCAGCAGCTGGTTAGGGAAAAGTCCGGGCGGGATAAGGAATGCAGACTGAGTTCGAGAGTGCAGAATGCGGAAATGCAGTTGTGGGCCAGGCGGACACAGTGTTACCCACTCCAGTTCACCCGGTGAACTAGTTAATTGTTCGTTTGATAACGGCAGCTGCTCCTAATGGGGTTTAGATTTAATGGTTGCCGCGGAATTTTTTGCAAATTTCAACTGCTGTTGGCCTCTAGGCGAAGTTATGATTGAATTTTTATATAATTTTATTTAATTTGTTTTGGATCAATGTTATTTATCTGGAGTTTATTTAAAACCGGCGACAGCAGTGTTAGTATTTCCATTGAATTTTATTTTTAAAATTTGCTAAAGGTTTAATTCAGGGAACGAAAATAACTGTTATTGTAAATTTTTCATACAAAAAAATCACGCACTTAGAAGGGTCCTAAAAATTTTTTAAATACGCCACAATTTTTATTAGCCATTGTAGTTTACAAATCCGTAATGATTTTTATTTTTTGATTTTTATAATAAAACTCAAAAAATAACTGTTATTTTTTGATTTTTATGAATAACAGTTATTCTTTTGACATTTTTGAAAAAATGAAATAATTAAAAAAAACATGATACCCGTGCTTTTTATAACTTACTAAAAATTTGTTAAAAAAGGCAACCGCGCATATTTTATACCTATATTTTTTTAAAATTTTGTTTACCCACAAAATCGCCATAAATCAAGTTTGAGTTTTATTTTTGATCACGACGAATAACTGTTATTTGTCAACTTTTATTATAAAACTCAAAAAATAACAGTTATTCTTTGAGTTTTACTTTACAAATCAGAAAATAACTGTTAAAGTGTGATTTTTAAAATAAAACTTATAACAGTTACGTTCCCTGGTTTAATTAGATTTTTACGTATGTATTTTTAAATATTTTATTTATTTCAGTATCCCGTTTATTAGTTTTAGTTAGGTTCTCTAAACTTTTCATGTCTAAACTCCGTGAGCTAGTTTTCCTTGTTGAAAACCAGGTGATCACCTCTGCCACTTAGCGTTTTCGCACACACAGAAGTTTTCCTGTTTCCTGCTGAGCTGTTCAACTCGCGAATCGCATGGGGAAGAATTTGTGTCACATGGGGGCGTTCTCGGTTTCCGAGCCCCCTTTTCCCATGTCGAACTCCACCCCTGGCTCCGCTTTCCGCTGTCATGTTCATTGTTGTAGACAATGTCAGCACACATTGGACTGGGTAAGCGGACAAGAGAGCAAGTGTTTTGCTTTGTATTGTGGCCAACACCACCAACTCCAACTCCTCCTCCGTTTGCCCAATTTTTTGCTGCAGTGCGTGGCTGCATTTGCTGGCCTTGAGCCAAAAGCCAGGGGCGCAGCGCACGGGGGGTCTGGGGGATCGGATCGTCCTCTTTGGGGGCTCTACTAGTACTACAACTACAACTACTACTACTAGTACATTTTGTCCTGCGACTGCTGCTCTAATGCAGATTTATTGTGGATGCCACCGCTGCGGGAATAAAAATTCCATGCGGATTGAGTTATGCGTCCGTTAGCTCCATTGCGCAGTGCCCCCTCTCACGATTTCCCAAACGAAAACTGTAATGTCTGGCACATCGTATCGTCGTATCACATGTCCCGTTCGCTTTGTGCGAATTTTCACTGATGTCATCGCCTGCATAAATTGCAAAAATGGATTTCAGCAATGTGGTTTAACGGAGTGGAGAAGTAGCAGCGCGGCTACGCCCCGTTTTCCGCTGCCGGCACTTTCACTGCATTTCCTCGAACCGTTTGCACCTATCCGGCCAAAGCTGCTCCCCGATTACGTGACGCCACGTACGGGAATCCGGAGCTTCTTTTTGCCCGTCTTCGAACTAGATTTTTATGCGGGGTACTTGCGGTCCTGAAGGGGGATTTGGAATTCCCTTTTGCAATCACTGATTTGAATTCTGAATCTGAATTTGTATTAAGTCGATACAATTTAATACAATATATCTAATCGAAATCTAAAATGAATCAACTGATCTTTAAAGTATCGAATCAGAAGTAAAATTATCGAATCAATATTATAACTATCGAATCTATACTAAAACTATCGTATCGATAATAAAATATTGAATCAATGTTTAAGCTATCAAATCTATTATGGTAATTTAAAATATTTTTTAAAACAGAATTTGAGGTCTATCATTGTCACGAATTCAATAAAAACAGGGTATTTTAGTGAGATAAAAGAATACCAAGTTTGGCTTCCTTACATTTTACAACTGCGGCGACTTCAACTTCCACTTTTTGGTTTGCATTTTATAATTGCTTGAGAAGTTTCGCCTGCCTGTCTGGTTATTCTTCGGGGCCTTCTGTTAAGTTCCGTCTGCAGACAAAAGATAGTTTTCCCAACCAGTTACGGGTCAAAACAAAGTTTTCATAGTGCCATAGTGCTTTCTTGGGCTGAGAGGTCAGTCGCCCAGTGGGGATAACACGATTGCAATAAATTATGAAGTTCATTCGCAGGATAAATGAGGGAAACGTGCAATTAAAGTTGGGCCACATATGAAGCTGAAGTGCAGAAGACAACTGATTGTTAATTCGATTTGAGGGCCATGCAAGTGATGGTCTAAAGGAAGGAAGTGTTTAAAAGGAGTTCCCGAAGATGGATGGGAAACATTTAATTTTGGATATTACAGTTTAGATAAGCTTGTTATTAGTTAGTTATTATATTATTAGGAATTGATTTATAGATCAATGAACAAGTAAACCAATTACTGGTTTTGAGTTTCAATGAAAATAGCTTATGTGTTAAGAGTCTTGCATTGCAATATCAAACCAACAAGTTGGTAATTTAAATAAGTAAATACTCTAAGATTAACTGAATATTTTAAGCTTTCTTTTGTAGTCCTGTTTATTCAGAAAGGGATATGTTCGACTTTGCACAACTTGGAACTTATGGATAAATTTCCTTCCCCAACAAACGAAACTTTCTCCTCGCCCTAATTGCATCTTGAAGTAGAGCTTCCTGGCCGTTGTCTACCTAAGGCCGAAAGCAGAAGACAGGACAGGACAGAGCAGGAAAAAGGAGCCGGCTTTAGGCCAGGATATGCCAAAAGTACACACACATTTATGCACATATCCACATGTACATGTGGGGAGGAATTTCTATTCATACAATTTTGTATACATTACATTACCAGGCCCCATTTAGTTGGAATTGAACTAGAAAACGAGATGTTTACAATGTCTTGTTCGTTTTTGTGTGCACTTTTTTTCGCATTTATTTAGTATTTCATTTCGTTTTCCCTTACTTGGGTAGAAAAAAAAACTAAGGGGGCTTGCGAAACATCTGCCGACCAGAACTCTGATACATTTGTATATATCATTGGCATTTATTTATTAACATAAAAACCCACTGAACCATGGTCATGCAACCCTACATCCCAAAAACCCCGCCCCCTGTGCCACATTTCTTCTCGTCTTCTCTCATTTCATTTTGCATCGCATTCTTTTTTTTTAACTTTCGTTTGGAAACGCGGCTTAAATATCCGAACAATACAGGGGGTTATATGGGATATATGTATACATGCGCATATATCTTCGTCTGATTACTTAAGCCGCCCACAAAAATAGAAAACAAAAGTGACAACAGCCACAAAAACCTTTTCAATTACCGAAAAAACGGAAAAAATAGTTGGGTCAGCAGACTTGGCAGCCTGAGAGATGGGGCATTGTCTCATTTTTCCACTGTTTTATGCTAAATACAACATTTTGTGGGTCGCTCGTTTAGCTTCCGAAATGAGCTGGGAGTGGTGTCAACAATTACCCCGGGGACCCCGGGAACACCTTTCTTATCTACCTTTTCAATATGAATTTTTAAAAGCTTTAAACACGCGATGCCGTTTTACACACTCACTTACTCCCTTTCGCTGTCTGCGAATGGATTTTCGAACTTTTATGCTCACTTTGATTGACTGCAACGGATTATGAATACCGATGATGACGTTGATGGGCCAATGCCAAAAACTTTGGGGGGCTTATAATACGTAAGGCCCGAGTGAGGGAAAGGGGAGGCAGGGAGTAGATAATCGTGTTGGTCGGACATGCATTTAATTTCAATTTTAATGCTTTTGCAAATTATGTGTGAAATGATTTCTCTTTTAGTTACGCAATTTCAGCCAGCGAATTAAGGAAATTATTTCTTAATGAGAAAATGATTTTAATCATTCAGAGTCTCAGCTTTGATATTGGTTTAACCGATATTTCTTCGAATCGAAATTTCACTCTCAATGGATTTTAAATTAATAAAGATTTTAAAAATTTGATGAAATAGTCACTACACCATTTAAACTTTAATGTAAAATGTTTTATTATTTTTAAGCCCAAATACTTGCTTGACCAATTCGAAACTGATTTTTAAAAACATAGTGCCTGTATCGCTAATTAAACCAGTTTCAATTAAATATTTTAAGACTTTATGTACCTACTAATCTAACTAACTAACTTGAATAACTTTAAAAGGAATGATAATATTATCTATATTTAGTCGACACCGCCATTATAAATCCAGTCCGGTGTCAATCCCATCTTATCTATCATCGCCAGTATAAAGTCGTAGGTGCCTCTCCCTGTTTTTATGTTTTATACTTTACATTGATCCATTGCACAACAACAATGACATCGTCGAACAACAAAAGACTGTCATGGTAACTCAACACCAATCGGCGTCACTGCTTGTTCCACATGGAAGAAAATATAAAAAAAACAAAGAAATAGGAGTAAAAAAAAAAACAAGAGTGAAAAACCAGAAAAATATGTTGACATCCAATGAATGTCCGAACCGTTTTTCTCGTTTAATGTGCTGGGCTGGTTTTTGGGTGGATTGCGCTTGGATTGGATGGTCTTTCGATGTTGGACGATGTGGCCACCACTACCACACGATGTAGTCCAGTTTGATGGCCAGGAATCCAGATCTCCTTCCTTCCATCAAAAGCAATTTGTGTGGGAAATCATTAGCAGCGGGAAATATTAATTGACTTCTAGATACCCTTTAAATAACAAAAAAAAAAAAAAAAAAAAAAAAGGAAAAGATATAAAAAAAAAATATACAAAAATATATTAATTGAATAAAAAAATCAAAAAAAAATGCAATAAAATATTTTCATGCTATGTGATCAAGTAATGATATGCATATTTAAATATAATTAATAACTAAGTAATAATGTATTTAGTTTGAAAACTAGAATGCACAATATTCGCATTTTAAAAGCATTTTTCAGCAATATTCTTATTTAGTCAGTGTAGAAGAAAATGTGGAGAAATTTATGGGCAACAAAGCTGTTGTTGGTTGCTCTGCCTTTCCGTTGCTACTGTTGTTGTTGTGTATTGTTTACAAATAAATTAAAATTCTTTGATAATAAAAAAGTAAAGTACAAAAAAGGAACAACAATCGCATCATACACATGCATTGTTGTTGCTCGACTTGGCCACTGCTGCTGTTGGTGACGTGCATGTTGCTGTTGCTGTTGTTGTGTTGCTGTTGTTGTTGCTGCTGCTGATCTATTGGGAACGTGCTGAGACATCCGCTGGTGGTAGCCGCTCGCCAATGTCGCCTCCGGGCGCTTAAGCATTGTTATGTCATCATTACCAGCAACCGGCAACAGTAGCAACCAGCAACAGTAGCAACACCAACAACAGCAGCAGCAGCAACATCAGCAATGTGTGCCAGCTACAACAGCAATTTGACCGACCGAACGCAACGGCAATGCGGACGATGCTTTCTGCGGTTCGGGCTTTGTACTTATTTTGCCCCTTCCCTCTTTGGTTCTACATATCTGTGGCACACTCACGTATACATGCAACACATATTGAACGATAAAGCAAAGTAAAGCAAAGCTTACAGCGGCAACAACAATGCATTATTCCCCTCCTTGTTGTTGCTCTTGGGTATACACTTTTTGATGGGTTTTACTATTTATCTGAGGTACTTGTGGTACTTAAACCAGAAGGTGTAAGAATTCGATTTTGTAAATGCTTAGAAACGATATTTATTTCAAATCATCGTAATTTATTGGAAATTACTTTTATACTGTCTTTAAAAAGAGTTTGTCTAAATAATTGTATTTCTAAATAATTTTGGGTGTTTCGGTTTATGAAATATATAAGTTAAGGACTTTTTTGTTCGTGTAAATCATTACAAATTTTAGGTATCCGCTTCACAAAAAAAAAAGCAAAATCGCATATCGTTTTAACATGAAATACTCGTTTCGAGCATATCGAATTTACAGGGCAGCATATCAAGTTACAATTGATATTACATAATGTAAAATCGATCTAGGCTTCATATCGATTTATTTTTTGGGTGTAGAGTAAATCCAATTCGTCTCTATAAATTCTCCATAGACCAAGTCTTGTTGTTTGGAATAGACCTACATGCATCGGTGCTCTCTCAATGATTCTAGCTCTGTTGCTGCTTACACGCTTTGGTCATTAAACGGCCTTGTGCCACTATCAACTATCCACAATATATACCATTATACTATATAGCTTATACCATATACCGTGCCATACCATCCATCTCGGTAGTGGTCACCTCTGTGCGTGTGTGACAGTTTGCATTGTTTTGTCGCTGGCTCGCATTCCACAGTGATTGCAACTTATTTTGCAGTGGGAGAATGAACGTAGCGATGTGAAAACAATGCCCCCTTCCACCTTTCGGGGCGCCAGCTGTAGGCGATTAGAACATAACATCGCTAAAAAGCCCATAAATATTCTATAAACCCAATCGACTTGCATGCAATTACGTTTACAATATGGTTATATGGTGGGGGCCTAATATGGCCAAAAGGGTGAAAGCGGTGCTTCCCCGCCATGAGTTTATCAACCTCACGAGTCATCGAGGTTGGTTATCAGTTGTGTTGTCCAATCGATCGATCGATTTGCCCGCTGATAGGTTAAAGTACTCCGCACATGGCCGCAAACAAAAAGAGCCATGAATTTATGGAACTGCCCTGCCTGCGTGTGTTTGTTCATTATGATTACTTTTGTATAACAGATGCACCACGATGCAATGCCTTGCTGCTGCCAATAATTAAATTGATGTATTAGTCTATGGGGATGAAGCGGGGAAATTGTTCAGAAAAATATCGATGGTATTGTATTTTGATTTCATTCAATGATGGTTGAGGTTCAGTTTTAATAATTTATTTGGGTTTTCTTAAATGGTTTTCTATGGCAAAAACAAAATAAAAATTCAATACAAACATTGCAAGCAATTAAATTCAATGAGTATTATCAACAAAAATCAGTAACTAAATCAAAATAATTTATTTAAGGTTGAGGATGATTTAAACTTTTTAGAAACTAAACTAATTCAAACAATTTAGATTTTATTTGAGCTTTAACCTTATCTGCATCTTAAGTGGTTTTGTGGTCTTTTGTTTTAATTTTCTAGCCAAACCAAAAATTGGTCGAAAACTCTAACGGCGAATTAAAAATAAACTAGCAAACTTTTAACCAAGACCTTTGATAAATTGCACTCAGCCACAGACAAATCTCAGTGCTCAGTGCATTCCCGTTATTCGCCAGCGGGCAAATGAAGAAAACCCAAATCAAACCACAAAAATACACGTAGTTTCTGCTGTTCGGGGCTGTGTTTTAATTGATAAAAGCGCAGCGTTGAGCGGGGGCGAGGTCAGAGGTTTTCACACGAAGCCAACATGAAATCAGAGATGGATATGCTGTTATATATATATATATATATCGCCTGGAGCATCAGAATCAGCATCTCTCATCTCATTCCACCCACTCGAGCGGAATTTCCGTGAATCCAAGTTGGCCAGCTGGTGTGGAGAATTTTCAGCTAGCGCTCCGATTTGCCACCGGCGGACTGCGAGTATGATGATGAACTTTATCTGCGGCATGCCACAGAATGAGCGACTGCATTTGCAGTTTGTGACTAGCGTTAACTCCCCTAACTCTGCTGATCTATAACCCCTTGTCTTTTTGTTTTTCCCCCGTTTTGCAGACACATCCCGAAGGCCAAGGCAACGGCCATTGCCGATACGCCCGAACTGAAGCGCATCGCGGAGAACACGAAAATCCAGTCGAACGTTAAATACCATGCGGACTTTGAGAAGGCCAAAGGCAAATTTACACAGGTCAGTCAGTGGAAGAGTTGAGAGTTGAGGGTAAATATGCACAGGAAGCAAAGTAATCGAATATTACAAGAGGAGTCGTATAAATTATTCAATTAATTGTACATTCGATAATATTGATGAGTGCGAAATCAAGTATTTTTATTTAAACATTGACCGATAGCAAAGAGTAAGGGGCTGTCCATATATTACGTAATCACCTAGGGGGGGAGGGGGTCATTGAAATGATTATGTTTGATTACATGGGGAGGGGGGGTCTTGTACAATGATTACGTAATCATTTTATATTAATTTTTTTATTTAAAGAATTTATTTAAAAACTTTTTTCCTTTAATTATATCTACAAACCAGGGACCAAAAATAAGTGTTATTGTAAATTTTTCATACAAAACAATCACGCATTGTAGTTTACAAATCCGTAATGATTTTTATTTTTTGATTTTTATAATAAAACTCAAAAAATAACTGTTATTTTTTGATTTTTATGAATAACAGTTATTCCCTTGACATTTTTGAAAAAATGAAATAATTAAAAAAAACATGATTCCCGTGTTTTATATAACTTACTAAAAATTTGTTAAAAAAGGCAACCGTGCATATTTTATACCTATATTTTTTTTAAATTTATTTTACCCACAAAATCGCCATAAATCAAGTTTGAGTTTTATTTTTGATCACGACGAATAACTGTTATTTGCCAACTTTTATTATAAAAAATCAAAAAATAACAGTTATTCCTTGAGTTTTACTTTACAAATCAGAAAATAACTGTTAAAGTGTGATTTTTAAAATAAAACTTTTAACAGTTACGGTCCCTGCTACAAACTTAAATAGGAAAGCAGAGAAAAAATTTTTGTAGTGGCTGTGCGGCGAAAAAAAGAATGTTTAGTGGTTCAATCACACGAAGGACGCGAAGACCTGGAATGGCTTGACGAAGAGTATGTTGGGGATAATATCAGCGTAGACGAACCGAATGTGTCATACCAAACTTCATTTATAAACAATATTAAAGATTGGGTTGCATCTCCGTTTGAATCCACAGATTAAAACAAACAAAATTTTATTCTGGGGATTACGTAATCATTGGGGGGGGGGTTGTTTATTGAATGATTACGTTTGATCACCAGGGGGGAGGGGGTCAAAAATCACCAAAAACGTGATTACGTAATATATGGACAGCCCCTAACTATAGAATAGCTCTTATGTACTTTATTTATAGTTTAAAGTTTCTTTTTAAATGTAAAAATTTTAAAAAATTAATTTATGTAAATGTGATTTTTATCGATATTGTCGATTCGATATTATCGATACGATATTATCGAAATTATCAATTTTTAAGCTCTAATGAGGATTTTATAGAAAAGTCTGTATAGTAAAGCCTCATGTTTTGTGTGAAGTTTTTCTTCCTTTGCTATAATAGATAGTGCTCCCCCATCTGAATTATGCCCTCACTAATTGGTTATGTATCCGACAGGTGGCCGATGACCCGGAAACGCTGCGGATCAAACAGAACACGAAGCACATATCGAATGTGGCATATCATGGCGATCTGGAGAAGAAGGCGGCCATGGAGAAGCAGCGAGGATCCGCCGAGGTTTCCGACAGCAGCAGTGAGTAGCCGCCTTGCCTCCGACTTCTGTCTATATCTATCTCAATTTCCATCTCTGTGAACCCCGCTCTATGACTATGTACCCATATAATTTCCTCCTCATACTCACTGGTATCAAAGCTTCATTGTTTGTGACCGCTCGTTCGCTTAATAATGGTTAGTTGGTGGTGGGTCGGGTTTACTGTTTAAATTAATTTATTCGATTTTCAATTGACTTAATGTGTTCATGATAGTCTATTGACGTCATTCATTCATGCATGCATTCAAATGGCTTTAAAAAAATACAAAGCCTTTAACAGTGGACTTGTTTAAAGTGTTTATTCAATTGATTTTGTATTAGGAATAAATTAAATTTATGGAAATAAAATATATTTAAATGTGTTGGCAAAGTTGTCAGTAAATTAAATGGTTTTCCAGTAACCTAAGGTGAAATCCATTTTTAATCTTAACCCCCATTCTTCTACTTTAATTTTCCCTTTACTTCCACTGTATTTTTCTACTCTGTAAATATGGATGTCTGTATTTGCATCCCTGCACTATTTATCTATATTGTATCTATTTCCATCATTTCCGTAACATCTGTCACATACTGTAATTAATATTGATTATAATTCCGTTTTTTATGGTTTGTTTTCTTTACTTTTATTTTTTGTTGCGGACCTTGTTTATCATTTGTTGGCACATATCCCCCACATCATCAACAACTGCAACAATAAAATCAACAACATAATTTGTGTGCTTTCTGAACTACCGTTAACCTAACGATAAACACAACACGAACCAAACACTACACACACATCCACACTAACAACAACAACAACTACTGTGGACAATGTTGTAACTAATTAAATGTCACCTACAACAAAAATCGAAAAAAAATCGATAAAAATCGAATAAATCGATAAAGATGAATCGGAATATTTCTCTGAGCAATTGGCAGCTGAACAATTCTCGCAATATGCACCCACAGCCTCACCCATACCGCCAGCAGTGACAACACTACACCAGCAACATCAGCAGCAGCAGCAGTTGCAACAGCATCAGCAACAACAGCACTACCAGCAACATCAGCAGCAACTGCAACAACAACAACACCAACACTATCTGCAACAGCAGCAACAGACCCTGCCACCGCCACCCATACAACATCAGCAATACAACACAGCGGCCATAACGCCCACATACCAACAACTCCAACAGCAACACCAGCAACAACAACAGCAACAACAGCAGCAACAGCGAGCACAGCAGCAACTGCACGATCCCTATGCACACTACCAGCAACCGCAGGCGCTGCGCCAGCAGCAACAGCAGCAGCTGCTGCAACAGCAAGCCATTAAACAAGCCTCACATCTGTATCCCACAGCATCACCCCAGCAGCAGCAACAGCAACAGATGCCGCCACCTCAGACGTCGGCGAATCCGCAACAGCAGGCGCTGAATAGCTACAATGAGATGCGCTCGGCCATACTCCAGAATTCCCATCATCCCAGCGGCAATTCCGTGGATCAGTACGACCAGCCACAGCAACAGCAGCAGCACAGCAGCAACCCCACGATGGTGGCTGCCCCACAGCAGCAGCAATCGCATCACAGCCTGCTGAACAACAATCCCAGCAACGGCGGCATTTCGCACAGCAACCACAGCAGCATCAACAATAATGGACACGGCTCCCAAAGCCAAATGTTGCCGCCACAAATGAGACGCTCGGCGGCCAGTGTTGCCGGCTATGATAACAACAGCAAGCAACAGGTGGCAGCAGGAGGAGCAGGAGGAGGAGCACCCGCCGGACCAGGAGTTGCCCCCAATCACCTGCAGCAGTTGTACGCTTCGCCCAATTATGCCGCTGTGACACCTTCGGAGAACTCGATAAACGTTAAGCAGCACGCAAGCAATGGCCATGTGGCAAATCAAAGCAATATCGGCAAGATAGCGGACTACGATCCGCTGACGGATGGACCGAGGGTGGTGCCCAATGCGGGCAGGTCCAGCACCACTTTGGTCTACAGCTCCGAGCCGCGGGGCATGCAAGGTGGTAAGTTATTGAATGGGCCCAGGCTAGCTGGTAGTTCGAGGTAGTGCGCTCAGCTCGGTGTCACACACATTCATCTTGTCCTTGTCCCCAGCTAGAAAATATTTAAAAGCAAATAATCTAATTGAGATTTATATTCCAACTACAACAGGCAACAGTGTGTACCCCAAGCGGATTGGTTCCGTTTCCGATATCGATCCGGCTAATGGCATCTACGGATCGCTGAGCGCCGCCGAGCAGGCTCAGCAGCAGCAGAAGCACCAGCAGTACTACCAACAGGTGCAGATGATGCAGCAGCAGGAGCATCCGCCGCAACAGCAGCAGCAGCAGATGCGCCAGCAGCCCTCCTACTCCTCCCTGCAGGAAAAACAGTCGCGACAGAGCGCTGCATTGGTGAGTAGTAAATGTTTACAGGGAAATAAATCTATCTAATAATAATTATTCTTAATAGCGCGTCTATCGGGCCATCTACGATTACGAGGCGCAGGACGTCGACGAAGTGAGCTTCCGCGAGGGCGACGTCATCTTCGAGGTGGAGTCCATCGATTCCGGCTGGATGACCGGACGCGTGGAGCGCACCGGCAAGACCGGCATGCTGCCCGCCAACTATGTGGAGCAGGCGGTTATATAATAGGGAATGTTCTACTACTGCTGCTGTCGCCAGCAGTTTGTGGTGATCCTCGTCTGCCTGCTCTACATCCTGCTCGTGCTCGCCTTCTTTGTCAATGTCTTTATCGCGGATCGCAACATGCACGCGAATCTGATGATGAGGAACGGCCGGCACGGTCTTCATGGCGGGGGAGTCGCTCCGCCGGCAGGCATGCATCCGGGTCACCACAATCCGTACGACATGCATGGCTACAACCACTACAGCAACTACCATCCGCAAGTGGATCCCAAGCAGCAGCAGGAGTTGGCCAAGAAGACGCCGCAGCAGCAGGCCGAGCAGGACATTTACTACTATTTCAATCACGTATTCAGGCGGCGACGGCGATGATTTAAATCTTTAGTGCATTAACTTATATACAACCACTACATACATAGATACATATATATATAAATACTATATATAGCAAAGCAGCGGATTATGTAAAAAGGGAAATAATTAATTTTAAAATTAATAGTAATTCAACCAAGAACCAACAATCCGATATCCAACTTACTAAATAAAAGCAAAAGCCACAGCAGAGTTGCGAGAAATCAACAAGAGCGTCGAATGTGTTTCAGCTATGAATCGGCCGATATATCGCATATATCTGCTGCGATTCCAATACGAAATTGAGCGACCAAGCTAACCCAGCCAAGTTTGCATTTATCTACAGCCCCTAAACGAATCAAATTTATACGGATATTTATTGAGGAATATACAAGACGTTAATCAGCTAATCGTGCGCTATAGCTAACCAATCATATACAATTACGGATATCTATAGGCAACTCTTCTAGCTAAAATGCTTCAGCATACAAAGTAATAGATAGCCAAATCCCAAGGCAAACGTATTCTAATTTAATTAGAAGTTCTCAATACTACTTACGGGCCAATAGCTAACCCAGATTTCCCCCTCCAAGTTTTCTTAGGCTTTTTGAAAGCTTTTCGCATTAGCCTATCCAGATGCGTATCTTAATCGATCGATTCTGGTTCTTTATCCCTACAATTTTGTCAATTTATCTGTGTAAAAGAGGAGAGCAAACATTGTATTGTTCTTGTTTTTCGGGGGAAATTCATGTTTTTAATATATATATTTTTGTTAAGAGAATAATAATTATATTGTTTGTTTCTAGTGTTAAATTGAAGAGGATGGCAAGGAGATATTGTTTCGTTTCACAAAAGAAATCCTTGAAAGTGCCTTTAATTTGCTAAAACGTGTTTTTTAGATAATACCAATTTACTAGGCTTATCACAATAATGCATTAAAGAATCAATAAAATTAAATATATACTGTAACTTATACATCTTCATAACGTACGCAAGCAATGGAGAACGAATTTTGAACGCAAGTAATGAAACAATTTACAAAGGCAACTAAAAATAATTTAATATGTGATTGGAGGAACGTTTTTCTATGGCAAGTCAAGCTATATAATGTATTATTAACTTAACTTACACCACACTCACACATACATAGCTATAAACAGCAATTAATAACGATTATATAGGCATAATGCAATTTGAAATGCTTCGAGTGGAAAGAATCACCTAACAAATACATGAATTAATCTAATCTTATCCTGAAATAGAAGCAGCGCCAAAGGCTTCGTTTTGTGAACGTGTTACAAATAAAATAAAAAAAATTTATGAAAATTTAAGTCGTTTTTTTGCTCTTACAATTTATTTGTTTTAGGAAGTAATGCTTAATTGCAATGCCATTAAAATTAGATAATGGTTTCGCTTTTAATAATAGACATTGTCATTATTTTTTGTCGAGTTATTCGCATTGGAAAGAACATACAAATTAATTAAAATAAAAAGCTCATGTTAACCATCCATATTAGTGAATGGAAATCTCGCTGGTGGTCTGTTCAGCACTTTTGCTGCAGAGTGTGCCTCCTTCGCGAGCACCGAGAATGGTGTCCAGGATTATGGTCTTGGAGTTGTTGATGGTCTCCTCAAAGAACTTGGCATCGGCGTGCTTCTCCTCGGTAATATACTCGAGCTTCTCTGTGAGCATGGTGATCTTCTCCTTGGCCAGTTCCAGACTGCAATAAAAAAAGATTTGTGAAATTAAAGAGATATAAATAAATTAATAATAGTGGTTATAAGATTGGTTATTAAATTGAAGACTTTTTTATATATTTAAATTAAATATCAAGTATTAAAGCATAAATACTAATGCAAAAGCATAGTCGTATATCTTTGATAAACTTACTTATTCTTAAGATCCTCTATTCTGGGCTCCGTCTGTCCTGCCGAATTCAGTGTTGCGGTGGATTGGAACTGGGACTGATTCTCGAAGCAGAAGGAGCCAATCGATCCGTTAAGAGAAGTGCGACTCAGCGAACTGGCGTAGTCGGCCATTCGCTGGGTGCGCTTCTTCTTGTCGGACTGCACATCGAGCTCCTTCTCCAGGTCCCTGATCTTCACCTCCAACCGGCTGATACGAGCCTTTAGCTTTCCGATCTGTTCCTGGGCGGCCTCGTTCTTGGTCCGCTCCGTCTCCAGGCGTTCTCCCAGTGTCTTGGTCAGCAGCATGAGCTGGTTCTTCTCCACCTCGAGGGCATCCAGGATGCCCACAAATTCTTCCTAGAAGGATGATTCAATTTAATTTTATTTTCTCTTAAGATTTAATTGTTATAAAATTATATTGTTATTGAAATATTTTGAATTTCTATCTCACATGATGTTTTTATAAGTAATATATAAAACTTTCAAATCATAAAATATCAATTTGTTTTTTAACGAATTAAAGAAATATAAAAAAAAATCCATTATATCATAAAAAGGTTTTATATTTTTATGTAACACCTATAGCATTTACCTTTCGAAACTCGCGACACGACTTTAATATCACCAAAAATGTTGTAATAAAATGTTTTTGGTCTCTTAAGATTTAATTGTTTTAAAATTATATTGTTACCAGGGACCGTAAATAACAGTTATTTGAGATTTTTATTTTAAAAAGACTACTGTGATATTTTGTTTTAAACGTATAAAATAAAGTTCTTTTTACTCTTGTCCACAAAGCATATGCATGTCAACAAATCTGGAAAGCAAATTAACTGTTTTTTTTTTCATGTCTATAAAGTGCATAAAAACCAGTTTAATTGTTAATAAAAACTTGGACAAATCTTAGTAGGCCTTTTAAAATAAAAATCACAAATAACTATTATTTACGGTCCCTGATTGTTACTGAAATAATTTGAATTCTTATCTCACATGATGTTTTTATAAGTAATATAGAAAACTTGCAAATCATCAGAAATATAAAAAAAATCCCTTAAAATATAAAAAGTGTATATATTATTAAGTAATTACCTTTCGAAACTCGCGACACGAGAAGAGGAATCCCCCAGAGAGGGCGCGCAGGTCCATCTCCAACTTCTTGATCATCTCCTGCAGACTGGCCATGGCCACATCCTTCTGCTTGACCACCGTCTGTAGCTCCAGGTGCATGCCGCTCAGCTCCTCCATTTGGCGCCGCGAGAGATCGCGCTCCTCGGTCACCCGGATCATTTCGCCGCGCATCTCGTCCAGACGGCTCTCGTACTGAATCCTTTGGCGGTTCAGCCGGTCATTCATGGTATTGATATTGACGCCGTTGAAGTCGGTCTGCTCCTCCAGTTCATTGGAACGCATCTTGTACTTGGTCAGGTCCTCGTTGAGGGTCTTGTTTCTCACCTTCAGAGCGAGCACCTTGCCGCGCTGCTCCTCCAGCTGATTTTGCAGGCTGAGGATCTCCTTCTCCAGCGATTCCACCTTGGCTCGGTGGAGAATCTCACTCTTTCGCACGCCCGGAGTGAAGCGATCAAAGGTGGCTGTTCCGCCGGCATCGCCTCCTCCCAATCTCTCGGAGCTGGCGTGATGGGATCGGCCGTTTCCCGTGACCAAATCCAGATGGGAGCCCAAGGGAACTGGGGCATATTCCACGCGATCGGCCACTCTGTCCTCGTAGGAATCCAGCCGAGCCTTGAGTTCCTGCACTTTTTGGGTGAGAGTGATGATCTGCTGGGCACGACCACGCCAATTGGCCTGATTGAGATTATTGGCCAGGATATTGATGTTGACGCTTTCGCCAATCTCGTGCTGCAGGCACTTTTGGGCCAGCTTCAGTTGGGTCTGCAGCTCGGTTCCCTTATTCCTGCTCTCGAACAGCTTCTGCTGCATGCTATTGATCCTGGCCTGCAGCTCCTCCGCGGAGCAGCCTTTCTTCAGCAGCTCCTGGTTCTGCTGAAGCTTCTCCTCGTGGCAGCGAAGATCCCTTTCCAGCTTCTCGATATGTGCATCCTTTTTGGCCAGCCTACTCTTCGCCTGCTCCAGCTCGGCTCGCATCTGTCGGTTCTTCTTGCTCAACTCCAGGATCTTGGTGCTGGCTATCGAGGAATTGGAGCGCAGCTCATCAATGGGCACCGAGTTGAGGACGTCGTTCAGGGAATCCACAGATTTCTTCAAGTCGAAAATCTCCTGATTCTTCTCTTGGATGGCCTGGGCCAGTGAGTGTTTCTCCTGCTCGCATTCGGACAGCTTCCGGCGCCACTTTTTGCCCTCCGGCTTGGGTGGCCTCTGTTTTCCCGCCGCCACATGGGCGGCGGCCATGGCTTCATGGTCATGGCGACGGCGTGAGGAGCGATCCAACTTGCAGCCCAGTCGCTCGTCGTCCGGAATGGCCAGATACTCATCCGGCAGCGTGTCCATGGCTCGCATAAAAATATACACAATCGAATTGAACAATTTCGTTGGCTGCTGCTGAGCGCAAATAATTTGTAGGTGTGTCTGTTGGTGTTACGAAATATTCACAATTTTGGTTGGCGACAGTAGTTCCTAGGTTCTAGAAATTTGTCCCTCTTTTTGAAACATTCAAAGCAAAGGCAAATGATTGGATGATTTACTGTAGGTATTCCAGGTTTTATCATTCAATTTCGGCTTAATTCATAAGTTAGGGAATATTTAAATTCAAACATTGTTGGCGCTACTTAGCAAAGTTCTGAACCATGGTCTAAATCATCAGTGAAATCTTTCACCTTTTGTAACTGTGCGTTAATATCAATTTAAATATTGGCTGGCTATTTTTAACTATTTGAATATATTTTGTATTTGAAATAAAATTATTTTAAAACCAACAAAGAAAGAAACAAGATTAAAATTATAAACACAGTTTGATTAAATGATTAACGATAAATTTTAATGATTTTTAGTTATACCCATTGTCCAGAAACTAACTAAATAAATATATTTATAAATTTAGTTTTTAGTCCGCCTTTAATTTAATTTAGCTATTTTTAGCTTGCCTTTGGCTATTTTTCTCGGCCCAGAAGTTGGCAGCACTGGCACTTTGGTATATTTTAGCGGTCGGGGTGCGGTCCCACTAAAGTGACGTGTAAGACACGAAAACAAGGAAAGATGGACGGATTTATGATGGTAAATTGCAAAATACACAAACTACTGGCCTAAATTCACACCCACCATGTGCCGCAGGACATCATCAAGGGCATGTGCATCATGGACAACGACGGCAACCGCATCCTGGCCAAGTACTACGACAAAAACATTCTGTCCACGTTGAAGGAGCAGAAGGCCTTCGAAAAGAATCTGTTCAACAAGACGCACCGCTCCAACACGGAGATCATAATGCTGGACGGGCTCACCTGCGTCTACAAGAGCAACGTGGACCTCTTCTTCTACGTGATGGGCAACGCCTACGAGAACGAGCTCATCCTGCTCTCGGTGCTCAACTGCCTGTACGACTCCATCAGCCTGATCCTCAAGAAGAACGTGGAGAAGCGCCTGGTGCTGGAGAACCTGGAGATCATCATGCTGGCCTTCGATGAGATCTGCGACGGAGGGTGGGTATATACATAGAATATATGTATGGACAGTGATGGAAGGTATCAGGCTAGAATGCTGGGAGCTACTTTAGTATAGCTTTTTAGGTTAAGAAATCATTAAATTTTTAGATTTTCTACTATTTTTGCATTACGAATAGCTAAAACCAATTATATTCAGTTCGGTTTAAGCAAGTCTCAGTCAATACAAATAGTAAAACCCATCTAAGGTCCTAAAATTGGATAGTATGTGTATAATAGTAATGAATTAGAATTTTTATCATTAGATGTTTTTTAAGTAATGTTGGTAGTGACTTCCAGTAGGTGTAAGTTTTCCTGAGAATAACATAGTCCTTTAAAATATGTTTTATTTAAAACGCATCTCAGGCCAAAGAAATCACACCTTTCCCATCACTCTACATACTTTTTTAATCCTTACATATTTTATATATTTAATCCGTAATCTCTCAACAGCATAATCCTGGATGCCGATCCATCGTCCATCGTGAAACGTGTCGATCTGCGCAACGATGACATTCCCATTGCCGAACAGACCGTTGCCCAGGTAACTAACACCCTAAATGGTCTATTTTGGTAGCCTTACTACTTAGTAGCTCTCCTAAGTGTTGATTATCTAATGGTAGGCGTTCGTACTTTAATTTGGTCTCGTTTTGTTTCGTACTTTGATTACCAACAGTCCTATATTTCCGCATTTAGTGTTATCCCCAATATGATCAAAATTTATTATAACTAAAGAGAGCGCTTCTAAGTTTATTTTAGATATCTGAATTAATGTATTTATTTTTTAACTTTCAGTAAAAGTTGAATTCTTATAAATCTAACAGTTTATTTAATATTAAAATTAACATTTTTAGATGTTTTTTTTTCCCCCTCGAAATATTATAAAACTAGTTAATTCGTATGAATTAAATGAGCTCTATGTGTTTTTAAGTTAAAAGTAGACACCTTAAAGATCTACTTATAGAATAGCATATGTTCCTTGTACATGTTTTTCACTTAGTTGCGATTACTTTTCCCCATTTGCCCCTTTCATTGTACTCTCTGAATGATCAAATAAATATGGTTAAAATGTTCTGGAACTTTACGCTCATTTTGATTTGGTTCATTAGCTAATTGATCGAAATATCTGCCGAGTATCTGTATCTATATTCGTGTGTGCTATCTATCTATCTTTTAGGTTCTGCAGTCGGCGCGTGAACAGCTCAAATGGTCCATTCTGAAGTGATGTGATGAGGGGTGGCGGAAGCGAGGAAGCCACTTCCGCGCCGTGTTGTCGCAATACATTCGATTCTTCTTTTACCCCCAACTGTTTTCGCCTAGTTGTAAAGCATATTATAATACATACATTTAACTAGAGAGCCCTGCATGTTTTTATTGGTCAACTAACAACTTGTTGTGTCATAGTGTAGCTCTAAGCACCGATTAACGATTGAGTTATCAGGGTCTTGAGCCCCTATAAATCACTTGTACGTGGTATGTAATCGAAATCTCAGATAAGGGGAACCCCCTGAATAAACAAGCAAGTCATCGATATGGACCGGATTTGCGTTAATCCAAAAAAGCCTTGGAGATGTAGTTGTATTAAAGAGTATTTAAACTTTCGTTGCTGTCTGAATTATTCTATCGCGCGGTACACGCTTATCTCAGTACTCGATACACTTGAGTTCAACCATTCTTTATTTGCTTAATCGAGCAACTTTCGCATGCAGCTATAAAATGTCAGAACGCCGATCGGTCAGTATTACAATGAGATAATGCATTTACTACATATGTCGCAAAATTGAAATGCAATCCCTGCGCATATGCATATGAAGTAAATCGAACCACCTACTTCGAGATACGGGGCCAAAGTGTGTCGTAAACACGTGCCCAAACAGTGTACAACCTGAAGTGGGAGCTAAAATTGGGGGGGTATATTGGGAGTGGCTGTTAGGCTGCTAGGGCCTCTTCACGAGGCGGTGCCAATTATTTAGCGATTAAGCACCGCTAATCTCAACATCTTTATAATAGGGGGCACATAAAGAAATTCTATTTCCAGAAGAGGTCCAAGACGTTGTTCAACAGCTTTGTTTTCTTGTGCCAAACTCGATGTAAGGGCATTGGCACTCAAAAGCTATATTGGTGTTTGATTTATGGCCATTACAACCTAATTGCACAGCTCTTACCACTTGCAGACGCTATTAAAAGCTTTAGTTATGAACTGATATTCTACGTTTCAGCTAAAAAAAGGGAGTTAATTGAAGGTTGTTCGATTGGGGGACTTACATTTCATCTTCAAAAGACCTTGTTTCATAACTGCTGTTAATATCTCCCCAAAAATAAAAACCAGATAACCGTGATTCACTTGTTTTCGCCCAGCCTTTGATCGCATGGCTATCATTCAACTTCAACCCGCTGCTCGTACATCATCCGCACCACCCATGAACCACAGACGTGCTCCACTCCCACAACCTCCCAACCATCGTTCTTTAATCAAATGGTTGTCAACATTGCAGCCAAAACAAAAACAATCGCAAAATTAAGCGCCTCGCGTTTATCTGCCTTCTGTGTTGTCGAATTAGACAAATAACACCGAAGTGGGGAGTCAGCTGAGGGGGAGTTAAGTACATATCTATCAGCTATATGAGCGGTGATATCAGGACCGCACTTGATGGATTGCCCGGGGATCACGTTTGGGTTTTCGTCGAAGACGACGCAAGGTCCCCGGAATTAGCTGCTTACGCGGTTGCATGATGTCAGGGGCTTGTCGATGTGCAGATAGGATCATATAAGCTCTCAAAGTCCTGATATAGAAACATATAATCTTCAGTTTATTATTTTATAGGTGTTGGCTTTAATAAATAGATTTAGAACTAAGAAATCCTAGAGATCTTGAGGTAGGTGATGCAATATTTTATAAGTATTTTAAAAATAATCATGTGGTAAGCCCTAAAAAGAGTTAAAAGTTAAAGTACAGTTAGGTCGTTAGCTCCCCATTAATTTATACCCAATATCGGGTTCTCAAGCATGCTCCTGCATTATCAGCAGAGATTATTTCGGTTAGGAAAGAGGTTCCACATGATTAGCGCCATGGGTACCGAAAATGGGTTCCAATCGGATCAAGATTTACGATCACGATCGCCGGCGCACCAACAGATTTATATAATGAGAACGGGCTGGTTTATTTCAGAGAGGACTATTTGGCATTCAGTCGGGCTAGTCATTCGATTTGTGCGCTTGATTTCGAATTCTTGTCTACAGAAACGGAAATCCACTACATCTAGAGAGGCGAAATCAAATCGCGCCAGATACTGGGAAATGAATGGCGACTTGTTTTTCGGGTCTGTATAATAACATTTCAACGATTGGTATTTATTCTTTGAATTTCAATCTCGTCTGTGGTAAACAAAATAGTTAAAATTCCATTCCGCAAAATCCATTAGTAACCCTTCACGTGTGCCAACTAATTGAAACTGAACGAATTATGGCGAAATGAAGACGGCGGCGGGTTAAAGTAATTTTTTTTTTGTCATACCCACGTTACCCAGAAGTAATATCGAATGAGGGGGCCCGATCCATAAAATCGCTTTTATGGCTCTCAATTTGTAGGAAAATTTTCGCACAATTTGCGGTAATTGCAGGGCCATGCCCAAATGTCTCTATCTCGAAGCGTGACTCTTTCTCAGGCTCCCAGCCAGACGTACTGCAAACAGACAAATAAATCTATATTGTAGGAGGAGTAGTAGGGGAAATCAGAGCACATTGACTGCCCCGATAAGTGGGTGGCTCGAGCAGTTGGCGACCTTGGCTGTGGAGTGGGGCAGCCGTAGTGCCGCCCGGCAACTTCTGAAACCACCCAGGAATCCCACACTGGGTTCAACGTTCCAAGAACCCAGATCGCTCTGAACCTCCGTGAACCCGATCTAAAGCAAACCCTTAATTTACCCTCCCTGACAGTGGGTCAAATCCCCACGGGATTGCCACTTATCATCCAGGTGCGATAAGGTTTGAGTTCTGTTCAGAGCAGTGTTACCGGGGCCCTGTATTTTAATTACATGTCTTTTCGAGTGCCCCCGTTTGGAGTGCAGATAGTTGCAAAACAATTCTTTGCCAGTATGCAAACAATAAGCGCCATTCTCGTAATCCTCCCCAGCGATCAAGTGCAATTTTAGTTTCCACTGAAGAGGGGGTAAAGTTCCATTCCAAAAAAATGTGAAACTGTAGCTCGTAATTGGTTAAGCTCAAGTGCTCGACTTGGAGTAAAAATATTCCGGATATAGATTGTCGATGGGAGGATTTTCAATTATCACGAGTTCTATTATAGCTGCAGTTCTTCGAAAGGTGTTTTTAAAGTTTATAAACAATTTTGACATTAAGAAAGTTTATTAGAATTATCTTAAGATTTTAAATCAAGTAAATATATATGTAAGAGCTGTTATTATTTTCGGAATTTTACTTTAAATATTTTTAAATCGTTTTACCTATGTTGTAATATTTTTGAATTAAGTGTTAAACCTATCCGCTTTAAGGTGTTTTAAAAACGTAGAAAATCCTTTATGAATTTTTTACCTTTAGGATTTTCTTTCTGTGTGGATAGGGACCATTATAAATCGATTCTAGCAAATTCAGTCACTCTTACGAAATGGTCGATGATTTGGCGATTTCTGCATTTAAGAGCTAATCGAAATTCACATTTCTCTTCTTGAATAACTCTCTTTAACCAGCGATTTGGTGACTCGAATTGTTCTATACGTTGAGCTACCCTCGGACCGAATGCTATCTTATCACTGATATTGTACATTCTTACTTTGAACACCCGTACAAGCAATTAACAAACGATTCGCGGCTATGCGACTCCCTTCCACCCCCACAAGCCCCAAAAACACCCAACCACCCACTCGGTACCGCTCTCTTTCTCTCTTTGGGGACCTTATCTCGGAACTGAATGGAACCGAACTGATATTTAAGAATTCACCCCGTTCGCTGTGACTTTCAGTGCTGTGTGATCATAAAACGGTGTTAGACGTGTTCCGGCCTTAAGCGACTACAAACAGGAACCCTGAAAATCACAATCAACGGGAAAAGTTCAGTGATACAGACAAATGGATATTATTATAGCAGTGACAAGAACTCAAGTGCTCGATAAACACATTCCTGGCCAAAGAAAACAGAAGCACAGTGGAATCCAAAGTATTTAATAACAAATTGTGTACCAGTGAACAAAAGTTTATAAATAAAGCGACAGCAGTTTCCACAAAACGAAATCACAACCGATCGGGCACAATTGATACAACACTCAGAACCATGAAATTAAGGTTGGTGTCTAGCTTCTAAGAAAGATTGGGTATAGTATATATGATTAACAATATGGCCTCTATCAGACCACAATTCCATTTAATTCCGAAAAGCCCCAAAATCACAGTTGTTTAGCCCCAAAATTGGGAACCTTCAATCAGCATGATAAGCTAAACCAATGGGGGAAGTAGCTTTTGGTATACAGGTTTTCATATTATTCCTATCAGTGGGCGGATGATATCATTGCGGAATATCCAATATGTTTGTTCTATATTCGGCTAAGCTAATCACACTTATTTGGGCAACCCAAATCAGACTGCACGTCGGGTAGATAATGCAAATTAACTTTATGGGAAGACCACAAATCGTTTGACCTTTTCATAGTCTACTTCGAGTTATTACTTTTATTGCACGACGGGTTCTCGGTTCTTTCGTAAAAATATATATCGGAAATCGCCCTTCTATGCGCTTCTCATCACGCTCAGCTTTTAAAGCTGACGCAATCCCTTCTCTGCGATTCTCAAAACTCCCACCTGACTGACGCATCTTGGGCAACCAAGTTAATTACCTGCACACCGAATTATTATCTGTGAATAAATTATACAATTTTATGGTTATTTGTTTAGATTAGCCACACGTTCCAATTGGCAGCTGTCAGACCAAGTAATGTTTATTTGTTTTTCACCAATCGAGCGAAACTTTGTTAGGCGGTATAGTTTTCAGTTGCTATCCGCGGATCGGGAGGAGGTCAATGGACATGGGGTTCCATTCCTTTGTTGTAAGCTGTCATAAATACTTCGGCCATATTTATAGGGCCAGTTAAAATCAAGTGAGAAATTACAGTCGGCGCCGTAAAGATAGGCACACTCATCGAAAATTCCCAATTTGTTCCTGATTCGATTGGCCACCGGAATTGTGGGAAATATTCATGATTAACTTTTATTAAGCGAATCGTAAAGATGGTGGCTAGGTTATGGTCAAAACGAGAAGAAGACTACATTTAAGTCAGTTCTGCAAAGGGTTTCATCATGTGTATGTGGGAAAAGAGGGAGCCGGAGAGCTCAATGTCTTTGGCTTGATAAGGAGCGGTTCGTATCTGGAGTGGCGGGCGCCTGCGATAAGGTTGAAAATCGAAAATCAGCCAGAGCCAATGGTCTTGAGTAAGTTTTGGCAATCGCCCAATTAGAATTGCCGGCCATAAAATTGCAAGCGCCCCATTTCCCGACTCCCCCCTCGTATCGATCTTTCCAAGTGAATGATTTTCACCTGACTCTATGGCGCTATATAAAGCAGATATAATTCCAGCTAGAGCAAAGTACGTCTGTTTTTGGGGGACTTGCGAAAATTTTTCCATGGTTCCAATTAGTGCAATTAGTCAGTTACCTAGATTGCTATGGAATTTGTTGTTGGGGTTTTGGTCTGGAATGCGGCATGATGTCTGGCGATATCTTAAACGTGATCCAATCAAAGTCCCAATAACCCAAAAACACATTAATGGACCCCCATTGATAACTTGCTCAATGGTTTTTAATTGATTTTGATTTTGGAACTTTGTATTTGTCTGAATTGGTTTTTTCTATCTCTTAGTTCCAACCAAGATATTTAATTTACCATCCCCTAAAATCGATAATTGCATTTTTATGTCTAGCAACTTTTGTAATGACTCAGTAATGACTTTAAGTATTTACACTTTGATATAAACCTTAAGTAAACAATTCCTGCCTTGTTGGGATGAGATGGCAAATAAGTTTGCTTAGCTGCAATTAGTATGCTATTTTGAATACCTCTAACTAGAAATCGCATTGTACTCTGCGCCTAATTAAAGTTTGTACTAGTGATTTCAGTTTTTTTTTGCAATAGGTGTTTGAAATGCCGCCGGCAATGCGTCAGATTTGGTTTCTGCCAGACACCAACCCTCTGGAACCCCCGATTTCCCACTCCATTTGGGGTCCATTGCGGTTTTATCTATTGCGTTCTTTCCGTAGTAGTAGAAAAAGTACACGTACCCGTATCTTCTTCTGTCTCTGTGGCTTCTGTGTGCTTTTAATTAAACATACATCAGGTCTGGGGTGGGTGACGGTCTTTGGGGTGTAAGTAAATATTTAATTGCCCACGACTATATATAGACCTTTGATCGGCGTGTTTTTCCTTAGAAGTCGGCAAACAACCATCTAAGTAAATTTGCTTTCTCTTCTTTTCGCCATGCAGACTTTTGCGGTGTTTGCGCCAGCAGCCTTCGAAACCAGCGGCGGTAATGGGCCACAAGGAGGATCAGCTTCAGGCGGCACATGACCACCACCTGCTCAAGGACATGCCCAAGGGCTTTCGGGATACCACCGTCAAGATCCTGCTCCTGGGCACAGCCGAGTCTGGCAAGACCACCATCATCAAACAAATGCGTATACTGCACATCAACGGATTTACCGACGAGTAAGTTTCATAGCTAGAACCCGTTGGGAATTATAGTTCGTAGAACAAAAGTCACTTTTTTAAGAAGATAATATTTTGAAAAAAATTCTGATATTTCTGATAAAATATTTAAAGTATCCTGAAAAAAATGTTCTGATCTTGAGAAAACCATTTGATTTCTATTACACAGAGAAAATTAAGAAAGAAGACTGACGTTCTCAAATTAAGTATTTGTATTCTCAATTTGAGGAAATACTGATTTTTCGGACAAATTTTGAAAAAAGAAGCCTATTTCTTTCACCATGTTGTTTCTCTCTTATTTGTCCCCGTTTTTTGAGAAAAAAATCTTTAAAAAGACTCAATTTCAAGGTATTTTATTTAAAAAATTGGTACTGAAAGTAAGTACTTTGTACTTAAAGTGAGTACTTGGTTTTATTTTGAGTAGAAAATTCTCAATTTAAGTGCACCGTTCATGAAAAATTCTCTCTGTGTAGTGAAAAATAACTTTTTTCGAGTTTACTCAAGACCTTTTTTTTCTAAAATTTACAGTGAACGGCGCGAAAAGATCCCCGAGATATACCAGAACATCCATGAATCTATTCTGCAACTTGTTGGCCAAATGGGACTGCTGGGAATCGATTTCGGCAGCTGTACCAGCGAAAGATCGGCCGACTATATCCTCTCCCTGCCCGGATTGGCCCCCGAGTATATGAACGAGGTGAGTTTCGGACCCGTCACGTCTCTGTGTATTTGTATCTGTATCTGTATCTTATCCCTCGCTGCACTTCAAATTCTGTTGTCGTGTTGTCGCAGTTGAAAATCCAGGCAAACGACTTTGACTGGGACTTGCGTCAAATCTCCAACGGCTTTCGATCGATTTTTCCTTATCGGGCCGCGACAATTTGATTGATAGCCCATCCATTAGGCGGCGCGGAATGTCTAAAAACTTTCCAAACAAGTGTTTTGTAAATCGGACTTCCTGGCCCAACCTTTGTATTCATTTGTTTTTTTTTTCAAGTTTGCCGCAGCTGCAGCGCCTTTTTAATATGATTCATTTCACGTAATCTCATCTATCTTTCCCCAAAATATGTATATCTACCCCTAACCAGTGGTCATTATATGGCTTACGATAAGATAACCAAGGCTGTTTCAAGTCTCCCAGTGGGCGGGGCGTTTGCTAGATCTAGATGCCAGTCATTCATGGCTTTATGTTTTACCAGTGAGTAATACCAAGCATAAACAGGGAGAGTTCCGAATTTTGGATTCCCCTTGCTTTCCCACAAATTTATTGTACCTTCTTGAATACGTGACCCGATTATGGGAAAAAATATTACTTTTCTCAGGAAATTAGTATTAGTATGAGCCAAAAATAATAGAATGGCTAATGTTTTATTAGATTTTTGTTGGCCATTCATATTTCTTTCTTTTTTTTATATTATACTAACAGATAGTATTTTTCCTTTGTGCACGTAATTTTTATCACATTTATATGGCACAATCTCGGCGGTTTTGACCTATAACATTAAGCTAGACACTTTTACAATGGAGTTAGCTTTTTGTTTTCAACTGTCTAAGTGATTTTTGCAAACTTCCGGTGAAAAGTTGATATACCCTTTATCAGCTTATAATAAACCATACTAAATTTTGGGTTACTTATCTTATTTTTTAGGAGTACTGCGACCACGTCACTACTTTGTGGAACGATGTGGGCATTCGCGCCTGCTATGATCGCTCGAGTGAATTCCCTCTGCTGGATAGTGCCAAATAGTAAGTATTACTGATAGTTAAGATCAATTTATTAAATTGAATTTAATAGAATTTTTTAAAAAATATACATATTTAGATAGTCTTACTAAAGTTACACCTTCTTTTTCTTCAGCTTCCTGGACAACTTTGCGAGGATCAGCGATGCCGAGTACATTCCCAGCACCGAGGACATCCTGCACAGCCGGAAGATCACCACTGGCATCTCGCAAATCACGTTTCGGGTGCCCATTCCCAAGTGCTTGGGTGGCGGCGAACAGGAGTTCCGGATGTACGACGTCGGTGGCCAGAGGGATCAGCGGAATAAGTGGATCCAGGTGTTCGAGGGCATTCAGGCGGTACTGTTCCTGATCTCGTGCAGTGAATTCGACCAGAATTTGCGCGAAGATCCCACCCAGAATCGGCTGCAGGAGGCGCTGAAACTCTTCAGGGCCGTGTGGCAGAACCGCTTCCTCGCCTCCGCCGGACTGATCGTGTTCCTCAACAAGTACGACATTATGGAGCGGAAGATCAGGGCGGGCAAGCACATTGTGGACTACTTTCCCGAGTACGACGAGTTCTGCAAGAGGCCGCAGCAGGACAATTGCTTCGACGAGAGCGACTGGACGAAGATGTTCATCAAGCAGCAGCTGGTGGACATCACCCAGGAGCCCTTCAAGCGCCACTCGCGGAACCAGGTGGATCTGGGCACCTCGGAGAGGGAGTGCTACTATCATTTTACTGTCGCCACCGATACCCGCTGCATCCGCGATGTCTTCTGCGACGTCCAGAAGATGATCCTCTCGGAGAACGTGTCCGGCACGGGACTCCTCTAGTTCTGATCTGTTCCGGAAAACGGATCGGAGAGCTTCTCAATAAAAATAGGGGGGCTTTGCGCAGCCCCAACCAACTGTGATCTAGTAGGGTACGACTTAAGTAGCCATGTAGGACCTTAGAATGTAGTGGCATTGTAGGTTATACGTTGCCTGGTATAACGCTTTAATATGTTTAATTGCAAGGATGCAGGAGAAGAGGCCTCTCAAGGAATGCTCTCACCACTCTTTCAACTACTTTGTAAACTCTAAAAGAATATAGTATTTATAATAAAACCAAACCTCACCCCCTCTAATTTAAAGAGTATTTATTCTAGGTTCTCTTAAAAAAGTTGAGTCTTCTAAACATGTACCAAAAGTAAATGGTAGAAGCTAAAATGGGTGAATACAAAGGCTGTTGCATACTTAAAAGGGCGAACAATTTTTACCGAGCTTACAAAAGTAGAAAATGGTTAAAGTAAGTACAATCCGTTTGATTTAAAAAGGATTAAGAGAAAGTTTTTGGAAGCAGTTATATCATTTAATTTTATTTTTATCTTCTACTTAAGTTATAGGTTTCAGCCACTGCTAAACATTTAGCCAAGTTATCCACCAACTAGTTGTAGATATTTTATCATATTTCCTTTCTACTGTACGAAACTTATTATATTCGTTCAAAGAGCGTTAACGGAAATCGTGGAAAACTTTAACGACTTATTAGTAAGTAACATAAACACGATTTTATAAATGATTATTTTGGAAAGGAAAGGGAATTTAGTCCATTAGATTCTCAAACATTTTTTAATTTCTGAACAACACATTTAAAAAAGTCTTATACATTTTTAAGACTATCTTAAAGATAAGATGCCGAGAATAGATTCAAATTTTCTTTTTAAATACTCTACGTATTTTAATGAGTAAATAATCTGGCGCGGACATAGATTGAATCGTACAAAATTCAAAAATAGTTCACAAACAAACTCTTCTTGCTACAAAACGACTACCACCCACCCAGATGTGACCGCAGCGCTGGTACAGAAAAATACCGCGAGCGAGAAAATATAGTATTTTTGCGATAGCTACTATATAGCAGCCGACCCGCCAGCAAAACGTTCAGTTCGGTTTGCGCCGGCCGATAGATTTTTTGAGTTGCTGAACTGAATCTGGGGGAAAAGTGTGTGTGGGTGCGATCCAGCCAATTGATACTGCGATAAGAGGCGGCGAGCAAAAGTAATTACCTCATAGCCATCAGCGTTCGAAAATAGTAACCGTGTTTTCTGTGATATTTGTGTGAGTGCGTGTGCTCGTTGATGTTTTGTGGTGGTTTATTTCCTCCTTATTTGCGCCCCCCATTTTTCAACCGATGCTGCGAGAGGGAGAGAGAGAGCGCAGAGAGGCAAAAACATTTTTCCCAGACTTTTGCTGATTTAACCGGAGAACTTTATCGATTCAGGAATTGTACCAGGAGAAAAACCCGAAAAGATCGCGTGTTTTTTGCCAGAGAGCAAGAGAGATAGGGCAAGCATAAAACCGCTAGGAAAGGAGCCACGAAAAAATTTCACTAGAAATTTTTGAAAGCGCTCGCGCAAAAAACCGGATATGTTACTCAAAAAGAAACAACAAAAAAGCTTCCAAACCAAAGCGGAGCTTATACAAAAGGAAATCACCTGTGTGTGTGCGAGAGTGAGTGAGAGTGCGTAAAAGTGTGTGTGTGATTAGTCGCGTGTCTGGCATGCAATTAGGCATTCAAACCAATTTCCCTCCCACCGGCAAATTGCGCCCGTCTCATTTGTATTTCGGCTGATTTTCATGTTTGCCCAAGCATTCCTTCCTAGTTTTTTTATTCGCACGAGACTTGCAAAGAACTAGAGAGAAAGGGCGAGAGAGAGAGCGCGCGCCAGACTGGCGCTCTCCATAAACCACCACAATTACACTTACCGTTACAGCCACCCCCTCTCTCCCTTTGCGCCCAGTACACTAAAAGAAAAAAAAAAACTAAAAATAAATATAAACAAAATCATTTTCATAGTAAAATTGCATTATGCAGCGGTCGGATTTCCTTTTCGGAAATGGAGGATCTAGATAGTTTTCAAAATTTATCTTATCGTGAGTTTTTTTTGCAGTGCAGCAAGTTGTTTGTGTATCTATTTGAGCTTCAGCACGAGGTGTGAAAAGCGGAAGAATGTAGATGACGATGACCAAAGCGTGGGGAGTCATTCATGAAGGCGTTGCACATCCCATAGAGAGCAAAAGAAAGAGACCGAGATTGTGGGGGAGGCGCAGCGCCGAGAGAGCGAGAGAGAGAGAGAGCCATGGACCAGCGGTGTTTTTTGTCGTTTCGCAAAATCAATGAAAGTGTGGAGAGAGAGGAGGAGTGGGGACTGGACGAAGGGGAAAGGAAGGTCGCCGAGAAATTTATGCGACAAAACGCGCGCTTTAATGTGCCAGTGTGTGTGCGTGTGTGCAAAAGGGGGAGTGGTGCGGAAATTTTTACTGAATTTAGCTTTAAACATCGTCATGTAAAATCCCCACTTCTTAGGGGACAGATAAGATACGGCAATCAGTAGAGTTTTTTAGTAAGCCCACAAGAACAAAAAATACAAAAGAATTGTCGTGAAGATAAAGTGTTTTACAGAAAAAAATGCATGAGAAATATAAAGTTAAAATGTATTTGAGAGATTTTAATTGCTAACATAAAATTACTCATATTAAAAAAACAGTATAGTGTGGCTAAAGCTTTTTCTACCCTTCATAATAGTACTTGTACTTAAAGGCGTATCTAAAAATATTCATTATAAAGCTTAGGCACGCCCTTAAAATTTAAACGAAAAACCGTACCTACTATTAAAACTAATTAAATTCTAATTTCTTACCCCTCAGCTGCACGTAAACCAAGTAACATAGCCACCAACTCAACACATCAAACCCACCAAAATGATCAACATGGACATTAGCGTTACGCCCAACTACTCGTACATCTTCGATTTCGAGAACGACTTCATACATCAGCGCACTCGCGTGTGGATGCTGGAGAACTGGACATGGGTGTTCTACTACTGCGGCATCTACATGCTGGTCATATTCAGTGGTCAGCACTTTATGCAAAATCGGCCGAGGTGAGTCTTCCATGGAGTTATCTAGACTACGAAAACATGTGTTCATTAATGGTATCGCCGACTCTGCGAAATTGTGGTTGGGCCATTGGGACCTTGAGAAATTATTAGCTGGCGACGGGGAGGAGGGGCACTAATTACACCCACAGGTTCACACGCCCATTGCAGCTGGTACAAAAGTTTCTATTTATCGAAACCAATCCCTGGAAGCCCCTATATTTACTCAATCGCACATTGTTTCAGTGTATTCTCCGGAAAGTCTGTGTCTTTGTTATTACCCCAGACAGCTGTTGACTTCCACGTGTAATTACATGAAATTATAGCTAATCAAGCGGTTATTCTGTAGGTTGATCCTCAACTCAATCTCAATTAGCAAACAACTGCATTCGCACCTGAGCACGCACTATTCGCGTTTATTTTCCAATACCCAAAGATCTTTAGTATTTCCCCATTTTTGGTATTTTGCATATTTTTCCAACTGTCAACGCGATTGTCCCTCGTTACCTGATTTACCTGTGATGGATTCAATTGGGCTTTCGTGCTGACAATTGTCTCGTTTCGTTTCGCTTCATTTTTGCTTGGCTGTTTGCTTTTTTCTGCCTTCCTGTTTCTAATTGTCGTCATCGGGTTTTGTGGCCAAATTAAGTTGGGCTCGTGACATGCCAACCATGGACGCCTATACTAGTTGAAAGATCATAATTTTGTTTTGTCACCCGTTTGGGGCTTATTTATAGCCTTGCTAAAGTAACTGTGAAATTCGTTAGAAAGTTTTAGGGTTCAACAGAAAAGTTTATTGTTTACAGTTTTCGCTGGCAGAATAATATTATTTTAAAACCTTCTTTTCTAATTCATTAAATCCATGAAGAAATTTAGTTTGCAATATTAATATTTTAAATTTTTTGTATTTATTGAATACACAAAAAAAAAAAAAAAACCAAAAATAGTCATCAATGGGGTATTTTTTCATATCAATTTTGGTCCCATCTGTGTTCATATCAAAATGATATTTCCCAACATATGATTTTGTACCATACTGATATGAAATCATACCATTTTGTTATGGAAAAATTGATATGAAACAATATCAGTTCCATATTGTTCCGTTTTTTTCTCTGTGTACCTAATTTGAGTAATTTAATTTGAGACAAAGGATTGAATTCTAAATAATAAATTAAAAATTTATTAAAATTATAAATTCAAGTTTAATTTTGAAAAAAAGAAGAAATTCCCTATAAAATGTTCAATGAATCTCCTAAAAAGAGCTTACATAATTTGTAGAGTAGCCATGCCGTACTGCCCACACTTGAGCCTACGCCCATGGGATTCGGATGAGTTATAATAGGGGCTTGGCCACGGGTTGCTTGGCAATTCTCCCGGCGGACATTCGTTGGGGATCTGTCAGTCAACTTTTCTATTTTATTGTCGTTAACTTTACCTTACACTCGGCTCTTCTTGGAATGTCGATTCAATATTTGCCCACATGGAGGAGAGACGGCTAAACAAACGGACGCACTTGGCACAGAAAGGTGTGAATTTAATGAAACGATGGAAATGGTTTCGGAGGGCGTTAGAAGGTGGTCATTCCTGGGCTTTTCAAGGTATACAATCTGAATATTCAATACAATTCCGCAATTCTCTGCAAAAAAGAGACATTACGTGTGATTTCAAATATTTTTGAGGGCGCAAATGCATACCTAATTGAATTTCACCGAGTGGGAAGCGAATATGTGCGGGTATTTACATATCTCAGAAATGGAATTCCACTTGCATTTTTAAATTTTTAATGCCTTTTCATTTTGTGTTTTTTTTTATCCTCGTTTCGGACAGTGCGCCATTAAAGTCATTTAACTGATTAGGTTTATAGGTACACGGCATAACGTACCCGTTTTATTTAACATACCCCGGCGGACAAAGTTCATCATGGGGCATACTACATATGGCCTGTCATGCAAGAAGTGGGTGTGTCCACGATGTCGGGGCTCAGGGAATAATGCTGAACTGAATTTGGTGGACAGGACAGCAGGACATTCGTTTATGTACTCGCTCGATTGGTCCTCTTCAATTGGTCAGTGTATACACTATACCACTTGATTACGCTTATAATGACGTTTACAACCACTTACTACTGCTCTACAAAGGTGATATTAAAACGGAGGGTTGAGAGGTCGTTATGAGTTCACTAGGTTGTTATGGTTTTTATTACCCGTAACATCATTAAAAATGTCAAAAAAAAACAACCCCAGAGTATAGTAAGCCAGAACTTTATATATAAAATATTCCAAAATTGTAAATATAAATTTAAAAAAATGATATTCAAAATATAAGATTTTAATATGTTGATGAAAGGTTTTCGAAGAAAGTTTAAGAGCCTATGGGTATTTCGTTAAAATGTATATTTTAATATTTTATTCAATAATATTTTTATTATTCTAACTTTGTATCGAATCTCAAAAGATGGGTTTATATCTCCATAAATCTTTACAACCGGCAAACAAAGTTCTTGTTGACCTGTGTATCTTCAGACTTTGCGTGTGCAAACGTTTTGTGGCCATAAAAGGAGGGCTTAGAAGGCGGCGATACAAATTGGGGTGGGAAGAGTGTGTGGGCGCCAGAGCTTACAATAGAAATCAGAAGCGAATATTTTCACAGTGGAGCGCGATGACCGATAGTTGTAATCATTTTTAAATTTTAAACGATTGAGTCATTCAATCGCTCAGGTTCCTTGCGATTATTCGTTCATATTCCTCTTACTTAATCAAAACAACAGGAAATATGTGTGACGAGGACATTGGAGTACAGAGAACATAATTTTCCATCCATATTTTCCTGCACCCCCGCTTAAAAAACATCCTTTAATGTGGTTTCATCACGCTAGCTCACGCTGTTGTACAGTGTCCTCAAAGAGCTGGAAAAATATTTTACTTCTGTGTTGATATGGGGAAATTTTTTTGCAATTGAAGCGTAGCAATTATATAACAATTTGCGAATTAACCAATAATTGCCGCAATGACAGGCGAGCCGTGTTGAGTTCAAATCGCCACCCTCGACGAGCACCTGCAATTTACAATTACAGCCACAATTAACTTTTAGCCGTCAGTATAAATGTTTAGTTAAAAATTACCAGCACCAATAGGGCGAAAATAATAAATAAATTAATAAGAAAACCCAGTACGAGTATGGAGAGTCAAGAAAAGGCATTGCTGAAAGTGAAACTAAATTTAATTTTGGTTGGGCCTGTGAGTGTGCATATATGTACATATATTAACATCAAATTAACGACAACCGTTAACACAAACAGTTGGTTAAAAGTGGGCAGAGCTGGCCAGCAAATCTTGTTAAGTGTGTCATTAAAGCCGCATTTCTTGATAGGCTTTTTGAGGCTATTATGATATTTTTCTACATACGATACCATTTTTTAGACCTCAAACATGGAGCTTTATGAAAAGCTCGCTCTCTTCTTTCGGCCCTTTCTTCTGAAGTCAGCATCTTTATATCACGCCACTTTTCCCCATTTTTATTTACTCCATGCGTGGATCTCTCCCTCGGAAATAACTCGTTTTTTCTCGGCCACCAAAATTGTTTTGACTGGATTGCTGATGATTGAATTTCGTCTGGTTATTGACAGCTTATCGCCCACCTGCTGCAGCAGGTGTGTCATTCCGTATTACCCAAAACTTCTGGTCGTGAATCAGCCGGCATTGGCGAAAAAAAAACAATTAAGTTTCCCTTTCGTCATAAACAATTACGCCGATTAGATTAGGGCTCTAAACATCTGAAGTACTTTCAGGTGGACAAGATCATGATTTTCTAAACGATCTTTGTAGTAAAGCTGTTCAGAATCCGTGCCACATAATCGTTAATAACGTGTTTACTCGCATTAGTCGTACTTTTAATGAGAGTTGAAGTAATTTAATTAAAATGGGTCATTGGACTTACGTTCTATAGTTGAAGTATTCAAAGGTATACGAAAAGGTTCACCCTCATTAACAATTCAAGACATGTTATGGTAATAAAGAGGTTAATGAAGCTTATAAAGATTAATACATATAAATGTTATTAAGATTCAGTTACATTCGACAAAAAATAAAACCAGATACTGTATTTTTTTTTATCATTTTTAAGTGGACTTTTTAATAAAAGATCTTTATAAATTTCCGGAAAATGAAAATAATATTTTTAATTACTTTCATTTGAAGCAATAATTTTTTAGTAACCATGATAATCTCGATTGCCATTATTTCAATGGAAAACCATAATAAAGCTATCTCACATCGAATTACCCTTTCAGCGAAATTGGCCCCAACCTTTCACAATATTTTTTTCGTTGCACTTTGAATTCGCTCGGAAATAACTTGGTCAATGCTGTGACATCAAATCTCGCTGGCTTGTGAACCACCGCAAAATATAATGAATAATAATTAAAAATGAATTCAAAGCGAAACCTTAATTATGGCTCAACATAAACCCAGAAAGCCAAAAGTTTTGCAACGCGCCGAAAAAAAGGTTTGCAAAAAAAAGCAAAAACACTGTCGCATCAGTTTTGAGACAATGTTGCGAATTTGGAACCGTATTTCCATACGTATTTATGTGTATGGAAGTGTGCCGCCGCTTGGAAAAGTGGTGTGCAATATATGTATATAGGTAACTTATAGACGGGGGCTGCATAAATCAACCTAAACAACCTGAGCTTAAACCCAAGCCAAAACTAAGCGCACAATAATCAATTGACCAACATTTCTGGATTTTTTTTTTCACCTTTTTTTTCTCTCTTTCTCCACTGTCTTTTGTTTACATATTTTGCAAAATCAGGTTTACCTCTCTATATATTTGATTTGCGCTCTCCTGGTCGGCAAAATTTGTTTCTCTTTGCTTATGCAATTTTCGCCACAAAGTGGAAAGCAAAAGAAAGTTCACCAACTTCCCCAACATTAGCAAGAAATGCTCCATCATCATGATTATGGTAGCCATGTTATGCAGTCTCAGTTCCGATTATATCTATCTTCGAACTTTGACTTGCCACTTTCTTAAGATATATTTTAAAAACACGAATATACTTGTGTCTACTAAATTAATAAAAAGTCGATGATAGGGGAGAAGGGGGCTCTAATAGTAGGAATAGTTTGGTTAGACATAGCAGCTATAAATAAAGAGCTATTGGAATGAGACTTGTATTACCGGAAAGCCTGTTCTTTTGGCTATAATTTTTTCATACATCATTTAGAAGTCAATTGCAAAGCCTTCGAGGAACGTTGCAAAATGTCAACATACTTTTTAAAACAGTCTAGCGATTGAGATACTACCACATACTATTGTTCCCCTAATACTATTTGGGCCCCCTTCTTCCCTACTTAGCAAATACTAATTGGATGTGTTGACACTTTGGAATTGTAAACAGTTTTAGAATTTTAAACAGCTTGAAGTGGAAATTTGTGATTACGCGTTGAACTTCAATTTGACTTGCTCACCTTTTTGGAAATTGAATATCTAGAATTGAAAACAGTTCTGGTTTCATAAATAGAGAATGTAAATTTATCAAACAAGCGACTTTTGCTCCCATATATAATCCTTAAAAATATTTAAAAATGCATTCTCTTTGGCCTTAAGAATGTATTATTTATCGGGCAGATCGCAAACACCCAGCCATTGGATGGCACCCAGCCTCGCTCGCCGGACACAAAAGTAGGTGCCGGTCCGCTCAGCCGGGCGCCACCCACTCGGCGGAGGAGGGGACGACCTGTGCCCTTGCAAAAATTTGAGCTTCAAGGGACGAAAGACGCCCCCCTGCCTAGAAGCCAATACTGCCAAGCGATTAGCAAGGCCGTTTGGTTTTCCTTACTCATTAGTTTGAGGCACGAATTGCCGACTGTCGGCGGGTGGAAGCTCATGCGCGCGCAGCCAGAACCAGTTGGGAATCACAGGGACCACAGCCGGGTGATAGAGTTGTGCACGCAAAATGAGCTTTTGCACGAGAATTTTCACTGCAAATTTCGGGTGGTTTAAAGAGTTTTTAAATATTTATCTTCTTTGTAAATTAAAATGAATTTTGTATAATTTGTATTATCATAATAGCTTTTTTAATTTTTTATATCTAATATTTTTTAAGGGTATTTAAAGCTTTGGTTTTATCAGCATTGCTCTTAATTGTTATTAATAGAAGTGACTTTATAAGATTGCCAACTAGAGCACATGTAGAATTCAATTCCTTAGATGAACATTTCCGCTCTGAGACCCGCCTTTTTCCCCCTGTTCTTCCTGCTTCTCAGAACGCAGCTTAATTGTCTAATACAGTGGGACTTATCTATGCAAATCTCTGCTGTATTTTCGAGTGCGCCAGGGGGTTGATGACATAAACGAGCACCCTGATTGTTGTCCCCGATGAAAGTCCCCTAGACTACCCTAAAATACACAATCTTTATGGCTTTGTTTGGTGGAAATAACTGACTATCGATTGTGTTTTTATAAACCCGTTGACGCATTTGAGGACAAATAAACACTCGCCTTATTTCTACAGAAATATTTGCAAAGCGTGTTTGGTAAATTTTTTTTTTTAATTCCTTACCAGGTTAAAGGTTAATGTCATCAATTTTTTTGGTTCGTCGAATAACAACATCTTCTGATAACAGAAATCACATTTTTTTTTCGTTTCGATTTGTTGTCTGTGTGGCTTTTTATGACTAATTGCCGCGTGAAGCGTTTTCAATTCACCCATGGAGTATATAATATAGCAAACGGGCCATCGATAAGGTTTGAGGTTGATTTGCAGCCCATTGATTGCGTAAACTTTGTTTGCTATTACTAATTAAGATTAAGAAAACCATATTCGAATCAATTCCTAATTTGAGTCGACTCGTTGAGTGGTACAATTAAAATAGGTTTGTGATTCAGGCGTTCCTAAACCCAGAAACCCCTTAGAAATGGTTCACTTCTTTTTTATTTTCATTTAAAGAATTTTATTAGGTAAGGTTTTGACAAAACCAGTATTTTAGTGAGGACAACTTTTCTTTGTTGAATGCCAAAAACAAAAGAGTGATTAATGGAAGAACTTCTTGTTTTCTGCACACGTGTCTTTCTTGAGACAATTCCCAATTTTTGGATTCTTTTAATGAGCCGATCACCTGAGAATTTTTTATTTACTTTGACCTTGCGTTATGAATTTTTGTGTTTGCTTAGAGACAAACTAATCTAGTGTAATCTACTAGCTAATGTCGTGCCTATTCAATTGCATCGAATGATCGAATGAGGCTTGTTATTCGAATTGGCATGACAACAGCTGGAACCTCACAGAGATTACCCATTTGTATAGGATTTAAGGGATCTATAGAGCAAATAACTCGATAATTTCGCCTTCTTATATGACTGACCCTGGTGACATCTTAGAGTTGTGCGTTGATGTCATTGCATTGCACAGAAATTCGCACATATTAAGTGCATATAGCAAATAAAAACTTGATCTTTGACTGTCACGCTCGTCTAGGACGGCTGGAAAAATGAAAATAGTTAGAGTTAGTTGATCTTTGTTGTTTTTTTCATCCCTCTGCTATTTCAGAGACTATTGGCTTAGGGTAAATATTAATAATTTCAAGTGTATTCTAGAATTTGCATTTGGGCAGTAAGTGAGTGAGAAATCGGAGAGAAATCTTATTAAGTTTTTGCATACTTTATGTTCTATTATCAAGATACTATTGAATTCAGCCAACGTAAAACATTAAATTGAGTTTACTACCTATTTAAATTACTGCAGGCAGCCTAGTCAGGTTTCAGGAAAATCCCCAATCCATTGATCTCCCCCAATCTGGGTACTTTTCCACAGCATTACTTAAGTTTCCTCTCTCCTTACTTATTGCAGATTTCAACTGCGCGGCCCGCTGATCATATGGAACACCTTGCTGGCCATGTTCAGCATCATGGGAGCTGCCCGAACGGCGCCTGAGCTGATTCACGTGCTGCGTCACTACGGACTCTTCCACTCCGTCTGCGTGCCCAGGTTGGTATTCTGATCGTCTGGATCCCCTCGAAATCCGCTTCAGCCAGTCAGTGACCTTGAGATGAGGCTGGAAACTCGATTCCAGCATATGCAAATGACCGATCACTGACCGATATATTCCGAATCTTCTCCCTTCAGCTACATCGAGCAAGATCGCGTGTGCGGCTTCTGGACCTGGCTCTTCGTGCTCAGCAAACTGCCGGAGCTGGGCGACACGATATTCATTGTGCTCCGCAAGCAGCCGCTCATCTTCCTGCATTGGTAAGCTATAAATTGGATTTTAACTAGGGAACTAATTAGTTATAAAGTCAATAGATATACTGTTGATTTTGAGAAATTAGCATCTAGATACTGAATATTAATTGCACTATTTGCTCTTACAGGTATCACCACATCACCGTGCTAATCTACTCGTGGTTCAGCTACACGGAATACACCAGCTCGGCCCGCTGGTTCATCGTGATGAACTACTGCGTGCACTCGGTGATGTACAGCTACTATGCGCTGAAGGCGGCCCGCTTCAACCCGCCCAGGTTCATCTCGATGATCATAACGTCGCTGCAGCTGGCTCAGATGATCATCGGATGTGCGATCAACGTGTGGGCCAATGGCTTCCTCAAGACGCACGGCACCTCCTCCTGCCACATTTCGCAGCGCAACATCAACCTGTCGATCGCCATGTACTTCAGCTACTTTGTCCTGTTCGCGCGCTTCTTCTACAAGGCGTACCTATCGCCCGGTGGCCACAAGAGCCGCCGCATGGCCGCCTCCCTGGCGGCCCAGAATGCGGTCAAGCAGTCGAGCAGCAGCCCCCAGCAGATCGGCGAGAGCTCCAAGTTCATCGGCGCTGGCGAGGATCAGGCGGCCTATCTGCGCAAGGCCAAGGCGCAGTAAGGAGGCAGCCGGGAGCTCATCCACACCCATCCCCATTACCACCACTCCCCCCTGTTTACGGCTAAGGACATTTATTTATGTAGCGGTGTACAAGTTGTTTTTTAATTTTAAACCTGGGTGGTGCACACAGGTACACACACACACGATGGGATAGAGTTTAATTTGTAAGCGAAAAGTTGTACCGGGTCGTACAGTCTTACGAACTATATATCTGAACATGTATATAAGGAGCAGACGAAACTAACCAAACTGAATTCAGGGTCGAGTCAGAAAACTGTATGTAACTGGGGGGCGGCATGACCACCCAGCCAAAGGGAAGTAGTACAGAATTTAGCTGCTTACTAGTTGTTTGCATGAGTTAAATTAATAGTCACTCTGAAACATCTTAGTATATATGTATTGCCCAGCTGCAGGATTACACGTGTGTTGTCGAGCCCAAAGTCGTTTATGTATAGATTATATAAATTGCAGATTTATTGACAGCCTCTAAATTATTGTTTGTTTTCCCACTAGATACTTGCGTTGTCAGCGATATTTTTGCCTCTCAGGTGGGATTTTGTGTTGCCTCCCAATTTTAGTTAAAATTCTCAAGAAAGTTCAGACTCCTGCCTTTGATTTGTATACCACCCTGTAGGCGATACACAAAGAACAAAAGGTACTTTTGATTAGAATTCAAGTTGAGTTGCTGGAAAAATGCTTTCCGACAAACACTTTTGTAGTTGGGGTCTGAGAACACTGTACTTCTAAGTCTATACGCATATATATTTATAAAACCTATATTAACGGAATATTAAACAAGTGAAAACAGAAAAACCAATAACGAAGCACTATAAGTTAGTCTATTGTTCCAAGATCCAGAGCGCAAATTGTTTTGTAAAGTAATAAAGTGTTTTGAAATCGGTTCAAACTAACAATATCTGTAGCAGTCGAATGACGATTGATGAAAATTCTGCTGACCGACTGGATGAAAAATCAATCGGTCAGTATTGTTTTAAATAAGTGTCATAAAGCTATGTAGAATTGGATTCTGTTAGGGAAGGCATTTATTTAGTTAACCTGTGTTGAATGCATTTTATTATGCCTTCAGCTTCTATGCTGCTTTTGGTAACTTAGAAAAACTACAGAAAGTCCTTGAGCGTACGCAAAACAAAAAAAAGAAAACAAAATAACCAGAGAAAAGTTTAAATTATATTTATATTTGTAAGCGAACGGAAAACGTGGAAGAGCAAAACCAAGAAAATGAAAAGCAAAAGTCCTACTTGAAAAGTTAATCTAGTGTAAACGAGGAAACTGTAACTGAAAATGAAAACGAAGCAGAAGCTGAAAGAGGATTGTGTGAATGGAGAGGAGGATCAATTGATTGATTGACTCTAGCAGGAGAGAGAAATTGAAACGAACAAACTTGAAATTTTTGTCGGGTATACATACTAAATACAAACTAAGCGAAAGCAAAACTAAAGATTGAGAATGCTAAACAAAACCAACGGATAAATAAAACGTAACAAACGGAAAAGGATGGAAAATTGAAAGTGGTATTTATTGGTCGGGGCAAGTGGAATATTTTTCAGGATTTCATCTGAAATGGACGGGCCCAACCGGAGTTGCCATTTAAAATTAAAACTATCATAAAATAGAAACTTAAAATTTGTGTTGCCACTCTGGTTTATTTTTTACAGGATTTACAGGACTTGTAGGATTTATTTCCTCATTAGGATGAGAGAAAACTCCAATTAGATTAGGAGTGCAGTAGATCAAATTTGTGTTGCCTTTCATTTTTGCCGCCCATTTTCAAAAGTCGATACATATTTATAAATAAGCATGGTCACACTGAAAGGCACCCAAGGCTAGCCGAGGCACGAACCATACCATGGGTATATTTTAATGGGCTGCGTCTCGGCTAACATGGGTACATTTTAGTGCGGCCATACTCGGACTTATGTTTTTCAGTATTTTTAAGTGGGATTTTTTCAGGGGGAAAGCCAAATCTCCACCTGGCAACTCTGCTAGTTGGACTCCAATTCGACCCGTCGCCGTGCGTGGAAATGCACAGATATAGACAAATCAGCGAGCAACGCTAGCAGATCAGATAAACCTATAGAAAATCGTCGCGAAAACCGATTAAACTTAATAATGTCAAGCGCGTCCGCCTGCGGATCTCTCAAGCCGTAAAAAGGAGCGCTGCCAGCGAGCGAGCGAGAGAGAGGAAGAGCCAGAGGCGGAGGCAAAAGACAAAGTGCATTTTCAGGGCGTGTTTGTGCTCCCCCTGCGCCTGCAAAACTCCCCCTCAGCCTTCCAGTTTGTCGACAAAAGAGTTTGCCGACAAAAACTTTGCCAACATGCTGCAAATTCGCGAAATTCACCTGAGCGGCCAATGAAATAAATAAATAAGATAAATCGCAAACTTCCTTTTCTCCGTGCGTGTGTGTATTGCCGTGTGTGTGCGTGAGTGTCTCCAATCTTTTTTGTCTACTCCAAAAACGCAGAAAGAGAAAGAAAATGTGTGCGTGTGTGTGTGTGAAATAAATTAAAGCAAAGCAAAAGGCGAAACGGCAAATAATTGAGCAAAAGGCCAGAAGAGAAGAGCTGAGGAATAAAGCAAAAAAAGTAGTAATAGTAAGCGAATAAGCCGAAGGAGGAGGAGCCGACGAAGGGCAGAGCAGCGAGAGAAAAGTGTACAAGTTGTTGTTGCTGCGCAAGAGCGAAAAACCACCCAACCACCCACTGGCAAATGGGGGCTCAGCAGGGAAAGGACAGGGGCGCCCACTCGGGAGGGGGCGGCTCAGTGGCCCCCGTCAGCTGCATCGGTCTCTCCAGCAGTCCAGTGGCTTCGGTCTCCCCCCACTGCATCTCCAGTTCCAGTGGCGTCAGCAGCGCCCCCCTCGGCGGGGGCTCTACGCTCCGCGGCTCCCGCATCAAGTCCTCGTCCTCTGGCGTAGTCAGTGGCGGTGGCTCCGGCGGGGGCGGCGGGGGATCGGGCCTGAGCCAACGCGGCGGCGGTCACAAGGATGCACGGTGCAATCCCACCGTGGGACTCAACATATTCACCGAGCATAACGGTAAGTTCGAGTGTTGGGAAACGGTCTGCAAATGCATGCGAAAAACACAGAAAAAAATGTATCTTTTCTAAATTTGAATTGTCTTAGTAAAATTTAATTAAAACATCCTGCGGATAAAAACAGTAATTTGAAAAACAGAATTAAAAATTAAAATCAGGCGTAAAAAATATACTTTTTTTTCTGTGTAGAAATTGTGCAATGTACGTAAAAAAGCCAGAGGAAGTGTAGACTTTGTGCCACACAGCCCCATTCACCCACACACTCCCTGAAATAAAACTGCATGCAGCATCCAACTCAGGTTTAAATTTCATCATAGTATTGTGACGTTTCTCACTATCTATAAGATGTTGTTGGCTAGAAAAAGTTGTCTGTTTTCATATCACCACAGATATTCATAAAATCATTTCTTTATGTGGTGAAATTCTTCAAGGACTTAAAGTTATCAAAGTAAAACGGGGATTAATTAAACGTTAAAATAGAAATACAACTGCAAATATTTATGTTTAAGCTTAGGATATTTTTAACAATTTCAATGTAAAAGGGGGTTTATTTTATAAGAGCGTAAAATGGATAAAACCTACATAGTAGCACACCCATAAAATCTCTGGTATAAATATCTTGCAAATTTTGATTTATTTGCCAGTTTATGCTGCACAGTGTTGTTTTTATTGTTCATAAAGTGCAATCTTCTACGATTCCTCTTCACCCCCCTTTCTTTATTATCCCCTATTTTCCTCTATTCACGCTGCTTTCCAATTGAGCCAATTTCTTTTTCCCATTGCTTCCGATTATATTGGGAATTATTGTTGTTATTGCCGGCTAGTTTCATACTTGTTGTTTCTTTTCCGCTGCTTTTGTTTACTGCGGAGAAAGAGGGAGAAGAGAAAGGAAATTGAAATGGAAGAAAAGAAAAGGAAAAAAAGAGAGAGCAGCACGCGTCAATGTTGTTTTTGTGCTATTTGGGGCGGTTTCAGTTCTTATTTGTTGCTCTCCATCATCCTTTATCCCCCATCCGTTGTACTTTATCCTTCATCCTTGCACCCTTATCCCTGCCACCCGCACAGTGGTTGAAATTGCGACCCACAACACCGTTATCCCACCCCCGCTGACATATTGCCATTTCCTCCACTTTCCTCCCCCGCATTTTCCTCACACTTCACGCACTCACGCACATTTTTATTTGCCTTATTTTCTCGTCTAATACCATTCCATTATTTGTCCTGCCAAACTGCAACATTTCCCTTCCCCTTCTCGCTGCTTCCTCATTTTCTGTACTCCCCTTATTTAGGGACTTTTCCCGTTTCTAATAGCTTTTTTATGTTCCTGACAACGATGTCCTACCACAATAGGACCTACCATCGGGTGGTATTCGGGATTTGGCATAAGGGTTCCGGAAAAACATTTGTCGGATTTTAATAATTTGGGAATTATGGGTGGAAGAACAAACATACGTACTGTAACATGCTTAGAAAATTCAACCAGTTCAATCCTTGTAAACTAATTAAATTTTTATGATTTATAAATATATGTATTAGAATTACAATTTTAGGCTTCGAATAATATAATTTTAAAACCCGTAACCTAATCATATTTCACATGATTAATTCCCTTGCCACTTTGTTTGAAGAAACATATGAAACCCTTTCCATTTTTCGCTCGAGAAATATTCCAGCTCCCACACAAATGGCTTCCACAGAGAACAAAGTATTGATTTCCTCTTGGGACCACAAGCTGAGCCACATTTCCCAGATGATTTACTACAATCTATGGATTTTTTACATTTTTCTTGGCCTCTCAACTGGAAGCCGTTTCTTATCTCGCTCTCCCAGAGCCTTCCGTCTCACCAAGCAATTTGTAATCAATTAATGCTATTTATATTGTAATTAGTCGCTTATTGTAAGCACTTAAGTTCACTCAATCTCTGAGCTCGGCTGCTGATAGGACGGATTCCATATAAATATTTATTGGCGCTAGTATTGAGTCATCGCTCCATGCAATATGTATTCGGCCGTCATCAGAAAGCCATTGAGCGTAGTAAGAAAATAAAAACGACATTTTCCAGTTTCGTGCGAGTGAAAATTCCCACACAGAAATTCGCCAATGAAAATGCACATTTATTTGCCAAACTATCAGAGTGTGTCTCATCCAAAAAGGTCGAAATGGGGGGCCTGCAATTGCCTTTTTCGTGTGTCTGGCCTGCAAAATGCAATTACAAAATTACAATGTAAAAACTGTGTC